TTAATAGATTAATTAGAGACAACGCGAGTGCCGCCCAATGATTAAGCAAAAGTTGTTGCCGCCGCTGACTTCCGTCAATCAACTGGCAAGGAAATCTGGACAGCAGCAGGGGGGCAAGGGAGGCGCGTGTTGGCAACGGTGCTGCAGCAGCAGGTGGAGGCGACACTTGCCAGCGACAATATGTTGTCCAAGTTAAAGTTTATAAACCGGCCAAAAGCCAAACGCAAAGCAAACGCAAAACTCAATTCAAACGCCTGCTGCGACTTTGGCTGCGGCTGCTGTCCAATTTTTTTGTGCAGCCTTTTGTCAACTTGCACTGCAAGGTGCCCCGGACGACGGCGCTGGCGATGGCGACACACAAAAACAACAACACGACAAAAAAAATTAAACAAGTACGAGTGCTTCTGTAGGGTATGCTCGACCAGCAGGCACCCAGTACCCATTCAAAGGATGAGAGCTTATAAAAGTCGCACGGCTCAAGCTGCGCAGCTCAAGCTTTCTTCCCTTACCTCCAAATCTATGGTTAATGCGTTCTTCAATAACTCGGGGACATAAAGTCTGATGTTTATGAAATTTTCAGTGCTTAGAGATGACACGAAAATGTATGTACATACCAAAGTGCATGGCTCTAACTGAAGAAATTAGTTTTGGAAAGAACGAATGATGGCATCAAAAATATATAAATTTATGTATTCAGCTTTATAATCGAGAACAGGCGTTTGTTTACGAAGTTTATAGAAGATTTGAAGTAAACTTAATCAGCCAAAGAAGAAACTAAGTGCCCAATACGTAGTCCCTGGATCCTAAAGTCTCTTAGACTGAGACTCAGACTATTGAACAGACAGACTAAAGGAAAGACAAATATATCGACTACTACATCTGATCAAGAATATTTATACCTTATGATGTCCAACCGCCTGTTACGTACAGTTACACAAAACAATTTAACCCTTTCTTACCCATTTTTAATGGGTATAGGTAAAAAAAAAACACAACAAAAACAAAAATGCCAACCGCAGGCACTTGATGCCAGGCAACGGCGGCGCTGGCGGCGCTGGTGGTGATGCCGCAGGGCCCGGGCCAGGTCCGGGACCTAACGACGACGACGACGACGACGACAGAACGTGGTTAGCAAATTTATTATGTAAACGGAAATACGGCATATCCTTGCTCAGTGGCGATAGCGACGGCCGCGGCAACGGCGACGGCGACGGCTCCGCAGCAATAGAAATAGTTTTGCGGCTGCCGAGGCAAAAAGGGCGAAGGCGCGAGCGGTAGATGCCATTTGGAGTTGGAGTTGGAGCTGTAGTTGGGGCTGGACGGTAACTGGAGGAGCTGCCGGAGCTCGTAAATCGCATAAATTGTATAATTCTGGTCATTGTTGTTGTTGTTGTTGTTGCTGCTGTTCTTCTGGTTGTTTGTTGTGTTGTCTGTTTTGTGAATTTGTTGCCAAATTGCGTTTGTAGGTGCACGCCTTTGTTATGGACAGCAGCAGGAAGACAAAGCCAAAATGAAACAATATGTTGCCCAAGGATGCGACCCGCCAACCCTGCCGGCCACATTCTATTGAGCATTTTGGACACGTGCGCGACAACTGCTGCGGCTGCTGATGACAGCGATAGTTAATTAATGACAGGATCAACACCTGCCACAAGACTGCAGTCAGCAGCTTTGAATTGGCTTTCAATGAGCCCAGTTGATTGAATTTGGCCACCAGTCAATTAGCCATGAGTACCGCAATGTTCCAGCTCAAGTTCATACAAATGCAGAAACATTTCCCGTACAACGCGGCGTATGCGCAACGAAATAGAAGAAGGGACACAAGCCGCAAGGAACAACTGCTGACCACAAGGCGAATCAAAACAGAGCAATTGATGTACATAAATATTGCGGATAAATTCACAGTGGGTTTAAGGAACGAGCTAACAAAGATGAGAAAGCTACGCACAATAAAATTTGAACCCAAATGGGTAAAAAGGGTATCACGTATTTGTGCAAATATATGTAACAGGCAGAAGGAAGCATCTCCGATCCCATTAACTATATATATATGCTTGATCCGCTTCAAGCCATGTCCGTCTAATTAATTAAGTGAATGAAATGGAATGTTTGTTAAACAAAAAACGTTGTTAAACTTTCTAGGTATTTCTGAGGTAGGAGGAGGTATTTCTGTCTGTCTGTCTTTAACGTACTATACTTTACTTCGAATTTAAAGAGCATTAACAAATATAAAACGATCAACAAAATATCTTTTAAAAAAAAGGAACAGTCAGCAAAAGAATGAAATATTTGGTATCTGTGTAAACCAAGATTACAAACAGAACCAAATGTTGATTTCAGCCAAACTTTTTTGTGAAAAATTAAAAAGTTTGGCTTGTAATAAATAAAAAATTCAAATTTTCGGCTCACATGGGTTCGCTTTAAAGCAGGTTTGAAAATTTTGTGTATAATATACCAGAACATTAATTTGGTAGCTCTGATCAGACTCAAAAAAACCAGAGCTAAGGTTCGGTATTTGAATGACGGATGAAGGATAAACACGTAGTTTTAAATATAAATATATATATGTAGTTGTATATACAAGCCTTTCGCGAAGCTACTAGCTTAAGAAGTAAAGCCCAATTAGCTTGTATTTGAAATAAAAACTAACCTATTTAAATAAATCATAAAAATATTTAATATATAAAACCTAATAAGAAGGTCCACATTTTGTTGATTTAAATAAAGTTAAATAGTGTTATGCTTGAAGGACCATTTATAAACCTTTAAAGACGACTGTATTTTTTTTTGCGACCCTGTTGTCAATCGACAGCACAATTGCGCCCTGGTAAATTGTAAATTTTTGCACTTGATTTCAATGTGGCCGCCGGACGCATCAAATAGACAAAGTTTGGCAGCCAAGAGGACGCCTATTGCAAATTTATGACTTTGAATTTATGTGCAACAAAGCGTGGCACACACTGAGGCGGGAGATGCGCACAGGCCATTCTGCCAGAAGCAGACTACCAACAAAAAAAAAAAAACGACTATTATTATAGTCAGAAATCAATCGATCGACAACTGAATTAATTTATGAGCTCAAAGAAACAAAACCTGAACGAAAAAATGTTATTATTTTCAAGTCTAAATTTAAACCCAATCAAGAAAGTCACATAGCGAGAAAAACGCGTGTTAAACAGTTTAACACTTCTGCATGGTCACGTCGAGCGGCACCCAAAAAAAAGAAATGAAGCTCATAATTCATTGAAGCCACACACACACACACACACACACACACACACAAACGCACACACACAAATGTAAGAACTAGCAATGTCTAAGAAAGCCAAAAGGAAATGGCAATGCATTAAGAAATAAGCAATTTGCTTTGCAGCAGGAGCAAAAAGCGCCACAAGATCAGACGCAGGACCAGGACACAGGCCAGGCAGCCAGTGTGTCGCGACTGGAACGCAAAGGCTGGCAGTAAATGTTTAAGGCCAGCCAAGGACACAGCCCCCCCCCCCCCCTTCGCCTCCTTCTGTGGAAGAGCAATCGGATTCAGTATTCCTGCGCTAAGTAGTTGCATTAAAAGCTTACAACCAAAACGCAGAGGCAGCAATCCAAGCCCCAAGCTGCAACAAATGCAAAGCAAATTTTTGGCGCCCCTGCCTCCAGCTCCCAGACCCCTGCTCCCTTTTCCCTTGGCCGTTGCCGTTGCCGGCACTTTTGCGTTTTTGGCTGACGCTCAAGTAACGTCCTGCGTTGTGGCAGTAAATCATTTCTTGACTTCTTCTAGCCCGTTGACGACCTTAAAGCTGATCTTAATTCAATTCAAATATGAGCTACAATTCTAATACCCGTTAATCGATAATTATCGATTAACCTTTTCTTTGCCTGACCACGAGTGATACTCATTAATAAATATATGTGATAATAAATTAATAAATTAATTAATTAATAATAAATTAATTAATAAATATAAATATACGTGCCATGAAACCTTCTGGGTTTGTAGCTCTTCTCGCTCTTTAACAGGCCTATCATAATCAAAATGCCGCGTCCAATCAATAATATCAATTGAGTAAGCAGCTTAGAAAATCTCCTCCAGCTTATATCTAACCAGACAGAACATGATCTGAAGTTTCTTGGATCTTAAGGTAAGGTCTACACATCCCGTCCTCCGCGTATATCAAACGGAAGCCCTGTACCATGCAGTTTCCATAGGAACGATCGTTCCAAAAATGAAGACCTCATTTGAACAACTTTTTTGTCTTTCAAGAAATCTTGACTAAACTCTGCGTTTACGAGTTTTCCTAAACTTCCAACATATGAGCAAAATCTTAACAACATCTATTTACCTTATCATGGGATCCCAAGGGAAATCTGATTCGTAAAGAGATTTATTGTACAAAAACATATCTATGTCATTTGTCTGTGAGGGTATTCACTACCAATCTTTCTTGATTCTTATTTATCCTAATTTGGGCTTCCAGCTGATCCACATGGTTTTACATATATTATTTTATTCACGGAATATAAACTCTCCTATTTGTTGCGTATATGTTGTTTTATACATATCTATTATATTCGCAGATTAAAATGTATATTGTATATGGCTGCAGTTTTACTAAACATTTCGGAGTCTGATATAAAAATAAATTGATTCGAACCATTTAAGACACATTTGAACCACTTTTAAACAGTCAATACGTATTTCGGTGTTCTTTAAATATTCCGATCCCAAAGTGAAACAAAATACAAAAATCAATTGAAGCGTTTTAAGTTTGGAAACTGAAACACATTTTGGCATAGATATAGAAAGCGTTACAAATTTCAAAATTATATTTGAATACATTTTCCACCTAGCGGCAATACTGGCGCCATCTGGTGGCTTATGTTTGTAGTGAATTCAATACTGCCTGCCTCAGAAATTAGAGTTGCCAACTGTAGCATGGGACTGCCAACAGACATATTTTGTGGCAGTTTCGTTTTATCAAAGGCGGTAACACTGTTTTTTGCGTCGTCCTCTTTGCCGAGCTGTTCGCCGATGCAACATTCGTGAAATTGTTAAAATTGTTACTTTTACGTGGGTTTGCAGCTAGAAATCGTCACCGCGCAAATAAAATCGTTGCACAAGCCGCGACACGTGTGTTTGTCTGCCCAAGGCGGCTATTCATCACCATTTCGGGGCGTGTTTGGAGCGAGAAAATGGAAAACGCATGTTTCGTGCTCAGATAAGACCCAGCTGTGCGTCGGTCTCGCTCAAATTGCAACAAATTGCGAAAAGCTTCCGGCTAGACTCACAAGCAGACAAAACAGCGACAGCGACTAGCCAAACAGCGGCTAAAAGCAGGACAAAGGCGGTGACAAAGTGACAACAACAACAACAACATCAACACGAACACAATTACAATCCCAACTTGATACCAACACTAACCAAAAAACAAAAAAAAACACAAAACAACAACATGCACCCACTGCAAAGTAGTTAAATAATTCTGCCCTGTCTGCGCTTTATTTCCTCTTCATTCTTGTACTCGTTTTAATTTCAACAAGTTTTCTGTTCTCGCTTTCCCCACATCTCTTTGAAACCATCCGACGCGCAGTTCTTTTTTCGTTACTACACAACAACAAATACAGCAACAACAGAAACAGCAACATACAAAACACACACACGAACACATTGGCTCTCAGACTAAAATACACATACACTCACGCGACACATACAACGACAGTTTCTTTGCTGTGACGCAGCAGCCACCAAAAAGCACCTGCAAAAGCGGCACGAGACCAGCGACCGGCTCCCAGTGCAGCTGTCATAGCGCAAAAAAATACACACCAACAACAACAGCAACACACACACACTTGTTGCAAACGCAGCAAAAGGAAGACAAACGGAGAGGGAGAGAAAGAGAGTGAGCGAGTTAGTGAGAAAGGGACGTCAAGGCGGCTGTCTCTTTGTTAAGTGCCTAAGCAATCGGCTATCAGCGTTCATTTTGCCGCCGTACTTACAAAAACGCAAAGGTAAGCTCCCAAATGTTTGCAAAAGTGTTTCAATCATCATTCATGACACCGCTAATTTACAAACGCCAAACGGTACCCGGCACACACAAACACACTCACACACATGCAAGCGTGTGCATACATGCGTACATAAATAAATCGTTGATAAGCCGGCGCTGCAGTTGCCGGCGGTCTCTCAATCAAATGTCTGATAAGACGGAATCACGATTCTCATGTGCGCGCACATTCAAATTAAACGCGACAACAGTAAAATGATAAAATAGAAAGAATTATGACCCCAGCGCTATCAGCATTTGCCAATTTTTGGAGTTGCGCCGAACTATCAATCGCCCTACTTATCGTATCAATATGCTTTCAGATGGTCAAGGAGAAACCCAACTCGACGCGTATCTACGATAAGGATGGCTTCAGGCGACGTGCTGCCTGCATTTGCGTGCGAGCCGAGAACGAAGCGGAGGTAAGATTCTGTTTTCAAAAACATGAAATTTTATTGTGCTTCGATGGGCATTCAGAATGCAAAAGGATAGTTTACTCTATCAAAAGGAGCTATTGAGATTCAATTGCTTTCAAGGAAATATACCATATTAATGGCTCTTAATGTATTGCAGGTGCTGCTGGTAACATCTTCACGCCGTCCAGAATTGTGGATTGTGCCAGGCGGCGGGGTAGAGCCGGAAGAGGAGCCCTCAGTCACCGCCGTGCGTGAGGTGCTGGAGGAGGCAGGCGTTGTTGGCAGCCTGGGACGTTGTTTGGGTGTCTTTGAGGTGCGGTATCAAAAGAGATAAATGTTATTATAAAGCTAACAAATATCAAAAATTATAGAACAACGATCACATGCATCGCACCGAAGTGTTTGTCATGAACGTGACCCAGGAACTAGATGAGTGGGAGGATTCGCGTAGCATTGGACGCAAACGTCAATGGTTCACCATTGATGATGCATTGTCACAGCTGGCGCTGCATAAGCCCACCCAGCAGCATTACTTAATGCAGCTGCAACACTCGAAGACGCTGGAGAATGCCCACACGCCAGGTCGTGTAGTGAATGCCACGCATCCGCCCATATTGGCAAATGCACCCTCAGCGGCCGCGTCGCCCACAACGGCATAAAGACAAATGCAGAAAGAATAATCATCTATAAGCCCACACCGCCTCACACAAACACACACACACAATATGAACACACCACTATTCACCCACATTTTGACATTTTGAAAATTTACAATTAGACAGGCAGTTGATAAATATTTTCGGTATATTTAAATCATTTACCCAGCACCCGCTCTCCATTATATTGACTACAGTCCGCATCCTTTTCGAGTTTAATTTAAGTCGAACGCTACATTTATGTTTTTAGAAATTGTATTGAAAAACACATGTATGTACTTTAAATAAGCGAACGCATAAAAAAACTAAAAAAAAAAAAAAAAAAAAAAAAAAATTAACAAAGAAGAATAAAATCTACAACATTGAATATAATAATTTTTGAGCGCATAGGGCACTTTTTGCAAAACGAAATACGTGTACTAACAAAAATTATGATATCTATTAGATTTTTCTACTCTTTTATAATTTACTCAAAAACATCTTGATTATTGTAATAAACAATTGGAAATGGCTTTAAAGAAGCGCTAAAATCTATAAACTATGCTAAGCGGCCTATAAATATAATACAAAAAAGAAAAACCAACGAAATTATTTCGTTTAACATCTGCCAGAGTGAGACAATTTAACAACCTTTGTATAAACTTCTGTTGCAGATAAATCCTTAGAAAACTAAATATAAAAAATAAACAACTAAAGTTGCCTATGCAAAAAGATGAAACGCAAACAAACATGAATATATAAAACCAAGTTATGCCGTAAAAACGTTAACTTATTGTAAAAAAAAAATATGAAATTAGTGAAGCCAGCTAAAATTCAAAAGGGAAACTAAACTATATATTAACAATAAGACATGTGCACGCTGTACTTTTCAAAAATACAAGGCAAAACACAAATATAAATATAAAAAGATAAAACTTAAAATGTCAATGTGATAAAAGCTAATCAACACTTTTATGTAGCTCTTTTTGGAATACACTTTTGGGCACTTTCAAAGATAAAGTTTTAATTCAAGTTTTAACGCTCACGAGAGCAATTGATTTTCAATGTAAATTCGAGATAAGTTACAGAAAACAAAATATATTCATCGGCAAGCTTAACAATAGAGAAAGAAATTGTTGCAATTTAACAATAATTTATAAACGAAAATAAACACAAAACCAAAACTACAATTCAAAGCCGTTTTATCATGTATTAAAAAACTTTTTATTTATGTTAATTCTATATTTGCTTATTAAATCTAATTTATGTAAAAATGCTAATACTTTGTGAGCAAGCCATCAGCAGGAGTTACCAATTCAACTACATGTGCATCGTGGACACCTAAGCGCCTCCTTGCTGCCGAAGCCGTGGGCTTTCGACGTCCACATCGGAGTCAGCACCGGAAGCCGTTATCACCGCCTGAAGCAGCTGCTTCAGCTCATTATAAAGCCTCAAAGCCAGCTGCAGAGTGGGCGCCTGGCGACGACCTGGCACCTGATGCTCTTTAGGCGGCTGTACGCACATCTTCACTAGCTTCTGCAGCGAACGTGGCAAGCGTATGCCACTTAGGAGTCCCGGCTGAAAAGTACCACTGCCCAAAAGGACATGTTCACAGAATATCTGGAAGTTATTGTTCTGTTGCACATGAGTGCAGGCCTGACGCTCTGCATCGCACAGTCCGCGACAGGAATGGAAGTTGCAGTCCTGATTGGTGTGGCACTTGACCCCGTTAGATATGCGCTTGTCTAGGTAGCTCTCGACATAAATATGCTCCGCGCTTTGATACTTGAGACGTCTGTCGGGCGTGAGTCCAAAACGATTCACTTGCATCTTGCACATTCGCAACGGCTCCGGCTTCATCTCCTCCAGACGAAATATGTACTCCATGATGTTGAGTGCATGCTTCAGACGCTGCTGTCGATTCGAGGCGCTATCAGGTGAATGCAATTTGGTTTGTCAGCTTTGGTTCCATATTTCCTTATTTACTCACAGATATTGAATGATGCTCGGATTGGACTGCACAATTTCTAATCCCTCTGTGGCATAGTACGGACCGCAGGAGCCCAGGACCGCTGGAAACACTGATTCCTCGTCGAACAGCTTGCCCATCATATAGTTGTTGTCCTTGAACAATCTCCAAAAACTAACCATTTGCTGTGAGTTATTATCCGCAATCTCCTGATTGACCAGGGCGCGTATCTTAAAATCCAAGGCAAAAAGTTTTTGAAACACCAGCTTTGGGAATTACCTGCAGGCATACCATATTATCGTCCAATGTTACATTGTAGGCCAGTATAATGTGCAATTTGACAATTTCATGGAACTCCTCGATCTTGGGATAAATAGCCTCGCCCTTGCTATTCGTCCAGCTCAAGTCGTCATCGTTGTGCTTGGCCAGCTACTTGCCAGCGCCAGCAGTGGAATGGAATGGTTGGTAGTCATGACAACCGTATAAATAATGCCAAACTGACCTACCTTCACGGCGAGCATATCGCCATTCTTTTCGGCCGTAAATAATATCGTTTTCATATCATTCAACGGGCACTGGAAGTTGTCAAAGTTCGACTGGCTGCTGCACAGTTCCTCGCAGAGGGATCCACTAAACTCATGATGTTCATACTTTTGGCACTAAATTCGTTAGTTGATGAGTTTTCTTAATTGTGCGTCAAAAAAAGGTGGTGAGATTTTTTTCCCTTACCATGTGCGTGAGACTTCTGTGCGACATAAGCTTGAAGCAGAAGGATAGATTTAGGAACGCATAGCTGAAAAGGCCAACCGCCAGCAGCACTGCAATCAGAACCGTACGCTGCATTCCTAAGCGAAATTTTCGTCGCAACGCAGTCAACATATTTTATTGTAATTTAAATTTTCATCTTTGGGTCAGGTTTTCCTTTGCATGCCCACTTGAGGTATATACACAAAAGGCTCACCGGAACTGTCAGTCGCGAATAGTTTGACGTGTTTCGGACATGCGCAATGCCATCCGCAGGCTTGTGGCTAATATATTCATGGAATATTCTTATGGGAGTGGCGATATATTCAGGAACTTATCGATACATGTGCAAAAACTGCCTATAAGTGTTATTAACTGATCCTTCTGGTTTTCGTATTAGCTCTGAAAGCTCCCATTTTTAAATTCAGCTCACAAAGTGAACAAGGGTACGTGCGATTTGTCGAATGTCGGACCGCCACTCCCTGTGGCAGCGCTTTTAAGGGTATCCGTATCCGTATTGGGCATGATTTACTAAACACTTTAAACACATAAATTTCGAGTTTCGAGTCCCCGAGGACTCAATACCCTTGCAGTCATTTGTCTTAAGCGCTTGCATATATCTCAGAATAGGAAAAGAGAACATTTTGCAATACAAAAACTTCTTGTTCGAACGATTCTTCCTATTGTACTATATAATATAGTTGAGGTATATTGATAAGATTTGGCCCATATGTAAAAAATATAATTTAACGAATAAATGTGATATTGATCAAGATATCTTGATAAACAAAAAGAAATTTCCATATAAGAACCTAATTTTCGACTCATCGTTCCCATGGCAGCGATATGATAGAGGTCCGACGCTGACAAGATTTCGCACGTATATTTATAAATAATAAGTTTGGTCAAAATATTTTGACAAATAAAAAAGTGTTTTATACAAGAACTTAATGTAATAATAATAAACTATGGCAGCTATATGATATAGTAGTCGGTTGTTGCATATATATGAGATATCTTGATAAACAAAAAAGGTTTCCATACAAGAACTTACTTTTTGACCTATAGTTCCTATTGCAACTATATGATATAGTGGTTCGATCCGACTGAAAGCTTACTGAAAGACTAGTTCGCATAGTTACAGGCAAAGGGACAGATGGACGGACGGACGAAGAGACGGACGGACAAACGGACTGGCAGAAGACAAATATTTATACAGACGGACGGACGGATAAATGGATAGAAAGATAGACGGACGACCTGACGAACAATCATGGAGACGGACATGGCTATAACATATATGGGGTGGAAGGTGTCATTTTCTATGCGTTACACATATCATTAAAAAATTATAATACCCTCTTCAAGGGTATAAAAAGGCACTGTAATTTGAAATTATTACTTAACGTATAATTCTTTATTTATACTCTTTGCTAAATTGAGCAATTATTTTACTTAATTCATCAATTTAATTTCAATAAGTTTCTTCTTGCTTTTAAATGGTTTTAGAGTTTTCATCATGTTTTTTTTTTCTTTTAAATTTTGGTTTTTGCTAAAAATAATGTAAATTCATAATTACATACCTAGTTCAAGTTTATTATTGTATATCATTATTAATTATTATTTTTCAATGCCTTTTTTCTTGTAACTAACGCAAACTCATATTCATACTAATACTTTGTGTGCGTATGTTTAAGTGTGTGGCTGTGTAGTTGTTTCTAATTATTCACCTTTATATGTATATATGTATTCATATACTTAAGATAACTGTTCTGTTAATACATGATTTTAACTAGTTATGTACACAACTATATATTGTTATGACAAATGCTAGAACATATGGTTTTTAACTGTTTATTTCGTGTTAGTTTTTGCTTTTGCTGTTTCCACTTTTAAATCAAAAGACAAATTTTAAAAATTGTAAAAAACAAACGACATTTAACGGGGATTCTGGCGCATTTGACTAACTCGTCTATGGATCAATAAATTCTGCTATATAATTCAAACGGCTGTCATATCTTTTTATTGTGTGTTTTGTTTTTGTTTTGGGTTGCATTCAACTTCGTGTGATTATCATAAATTGTTTTGTTTTTTAAAATTAATTTTTATTTACGCGTGTTAAGTTTTTGTATTTTGTGAACATTAAAATTGTATGCATCATTAATTTGTTTCATTTATTGTTTATTTGTTTGTTTGTTTGTTTATTAACTAATTTTTGTTAAATTGCATAGTTTATTCATTGCGTGTGTATATTTAATTGTATGGGCTTTAATTAACTTAGTTGGTTTTTATTTTGAATTTATTTACATTTAGAATAATGCACACAACATTAACCTAGTTCGGCTCAAGTGATATGCATCTCAGATACTTTCGCAATCGAAAGTATCTCAGCTGTTTATCAAATCAAACTCACAACCAGTTAACATCGTTTCGTAGTCGTTGGCGCTCCTATTGTTTTTTTTTTTGTTTCTTTTTCTTTTCTTTTCTTTTTACTTTAAATATTATGCAATGTTAACATTTTGTCTTTTGATTTTGTTACAAAATCGCTGCCGCGTGGCTTTTATTGGTTTTAAGAATTTGTTTAAACTCATTATTGTTTTACTTAGTTCATTAAAATAATGTAAAAAATCTGCAAATTGCATGCTCCTCGTTAATTAATGTGCCATTAAAAAATGTCTATGATTTTCTATATGTATTCATTCTTATATTTACAGCAGTTATTGTTTTTTTCTTATGATTTTCTTATATTCATCATCTTCGATTTGTTCAATCTATTTTGTTGTTGTCGTTTTTGTTTTATAAAACCTTTTTGGCAGTGCATTTATATTTATTATTCCGGTTTACCTATTTTTAATGATTTCAGCTAATAACTACAAATAATAATATTTATTTAAATTTAATTTATCTGTAAATTATTTTTAATGATTAACTAACAGCAAATATTTACAGTTGTTCGTCTTTTGCTTATCATAATATACTTTATTTTTCTTTTTTTTGTCACGCAAGGTACGTTTGATTTAATAATTTATTGAAATTATATATGTGTACGTAATTGATGTACATATATGAAAATATGTATCAAAAGAAATTGAAACTAGAAAATTACTATAAAATACAATTGGAAGACAGTTGTTGGGATCCATGCAATCAAATTATTTGCTAAATCAAAATTTAAAATTAAGCAGGGAAACTCTTCTTAAAAGGGGTCATCAAATGAAAATGAAATTGATTTGAAAAATAAGGGGAAATTTCGAATCTAAGATATTTTAAAAATAAAGTATTTTCTTTGAGCAAAACGGCATATTGCTTATACATAAATTGCAAGCAGTCCCTGAAGAAACTTGTTTAACTTCAACCATAAAAATTCGCATATAAAATAGTAAATAATTTAAAAAAAAATCACTTTCCTATATTCAATATTTAAGATTAGCTTACTGATTTAGTGGAATGCTCCATAACTTTGCATTTTTATGTGTCTGCTACAATTTTTTTTTTAGTTTTTGTTTTTCTTGCATATGTTTATAATTTTTTTCGTAGTTTAATTGTTAATATTTTGTTGTTTTTGCTTTTTTTTCTTTGCTGTTACTGCATTTGCTGAAACTCTAAATCTTGTAGCGCTGCTTTTCGATTTCTTATCTCTAATAAATAAGTGTATTTAAAGTTGTTTAATTTTAAAACTATGCTTGGGTAGTTGTGCATTATTATTTCCATTTACCTTTCTGTTGATGTTTTTTTTGTTTTTTTTTTATACGTAAGTTAAATATGCAAATTCAAAACCTGTTCTTAAATTTTAATTTGAATATACAAATTTTCATACTTATCATGTATACGCATTGTTAGCTTAGGTATTTTTTAAAATAGTCGTTGTTGTGGTTGTTCTTCTTGTTATATTGTAGCTGGCTGCCGCATGTCAATGAATTTATGTGTGTGCGTGTGTGTGTGTTTTCTGTGTGCGTGTATATGTGTGTTTATGTGTCTCCTTTTGTGTCTGTCCATCGCACATTACAATTTGGCTTACCACAAATAAATACTAATTTTAATCTTTATCATTTGGCAGTGTAAAAATTTAAGTTATTCTTTAATTTCGCGTTTTGTGTCTGTGTCTGTGTGAAAAATGTTTAATTATTGCTTTTTGAAAAGTGTGCGCTGAAAATGCAATTTGATAGTCGATCATCCGCAGCTAATCCTCGTCCAAGCTTTGCGAGCGCCTTGGCAGCGACTGCGCCTGCGCCTGCGACTTCGAGACGACCACATACTTGCGCCCAAAGTATGGTGAATCTAAAGATGGGAATAGTAAGGCTAATCAGGAGGAGTCTGGCTCAGAATCTCAGCTCACTTCTTGCGCAGGAAGTCTGTGTATTTGCGTGCACGCTTGCGCACTTTCTTGAGGGCATTGCCCAGCCGGAACTGCTCCTCGGCCAGGTCGTGGGTGCCATAGTGATGCGTGCTGTTGCTGGTGCTGTTGCTGTTGGTGCTATGATGGGCATGAGCGTGGCTGTGCGGATGCGAATGCGGGTGCGAATGATGCGCATGCGTGTACTGGCCATGATAATGCGGCTGATGCTCAAAATGGGCGTGGTGCAGGTGCATGTAACCGTCGCCAGCAGGATTAACCGATACCGATACCGATACCGAAGCAGCCGAACCGGGCGACATGGGCTGCGACAGCAAGTTGTGCTCCGAGGCGGCGTCGAAGGAGTCAAAGTGCAATGATGATGAATGCTCGCTGGTTGTAGAGCCGCCACCATCCAAATGAATGCCAGCAAACTCCTTGGGCAGCTCATCGATGGCCAGCGGCTTATCGAAGTGCGAATTGCCCGACATGTTGGCATAATCGTAGCTGGGATACGTATAGGGCAGATAGCCTGCGTGATGCGCTTCCGTGCTAACCAAAGTCTCGGAGTCTCTTTCGCTCGCTCGATTATTAATGAACTTCACCTCGTTGGCGTTCCGCTCCTGGCTGCTGCTGCCAAACACAATGTTGATGTTGTTGCTGCTGCTGGACAGATTGATGTTGCTGGGGGACAGCGGCTCTGGCGGTGCCTGGGTGGCACTTGAATTTTGATTTAGATTAGTTTCCTTGCTGGAGCTAGTGTGATAGCTTCGTTCGTAGCGCTGGAAGCATTCGCCAGCATCGCTGGAGGCAGTGTTCGTGGTGTTCGTGTTGTTGTTGGTGTTGTTGTTGCCCTGCTGAAAGTTATTCTTGTACTGAAACTCGAGCGCATTGCTGGGCTGAAATGGATAGTTCTTGGAATTGTTTAGCACATCGCCAAGCGTTGGATTGCCTTTGGACAGATACTGATGTATATCCTCGCTGGTAATTTGCAGATCCTGATCCAGATACGTGTTGCACTGTATGTAGTTGTTGCAGCAGTTGTTGTACGCCTCACCCTCCTGATCCTGATGAAACAATACCGTAGTAGACTCCTCGAACTCGCAGTGATAGCTGCTACCGCGTCGCTTACGTGCCGCTGCTGAGGTGCTGGGTCCTTCATCGTACAGGGCGCTCTTCCAGCTGCTGCTGCTCTCCGTGTTGCTGGTCAGCTTGCGACATGGCTTCATTTCTGGCTCGGGCACATTCCAGGCGTCCATTTTATCCTCCGTTGTTGCCTCAAGAGTACCACCCACAGCCCCCTCATGATCGAATTCCGTGGGAGACTTACCGTCGGCTAGGAAACTCCAGCGTATGGGCGATGGCGAGCAGGCGTACTCGGGCAGCTCATTACTGAGCGCGCCCTTCGAACTGTGCCGCTCCAATGTTGAGCCATGCGAGGGCGTAGCAGTTGCTTGGCGTTGCTCCTGCTGCTCGGTGTGCCTGCTATCGGCGGCAATTTGTTTGGCGCGATCGAATATGGAGGTCAGCGAGCCGAGCTGACTGTTTGGCCGGCTGGCGTTCAGGCCACGCAAGGATATGGATGTGTAGCTGGGCTGGCGTGCGTGTAGTCGCTGGTGCTTCCGCATGGCAGCCGATGCGGACTTGATGGAGTTGTTGCGGCTCAGTGAGGAACGCGAGCCGTACAAGCTGGTGGAGTCCGTTTGATAGCAGTAGTCGGAGCTGGTGCAACATGAGCTGGGGCGACGTGACGATGAGCCGTACAAGTCCTCGGCAAAGTACTGAGCCAGTTCCGTCCGCGATGCACTGCAGCCGGACTTGCGGACCATTATCTCCTGCACCTCGCGGTCAGCACACGCTGCATCCTGGCAGGCGTTGATCGAATTACAAGATACATCCGTGACCGAGCGATGACGTCGACTGCTGCACACATGTCGGGAAGTGTTGTGGCCACCGCCGGAAGAGTGATGCGTATGAGCGCCTGGCAAGCTGCCGCTGCCTCCAACAGCAGCGACGCTGTGCTGCCGACGTCGACGGCGATAATGGTGATGATGAGAGTGCGATTGCGGTTGCTGCTGAACCTGGCCCTGACCTTGACCCAGATGCGAGTGATGGCTGTGCGGTGATGTGTGGCGACTATGATGCGGACTGTGACTGTGGCTGTGCTTGCGCTGCGATGGCTGCTGTGTCTGATGGCAATGTGAAATTATGGCAACCGCCTCCTGTGGCTGGGGCGGCTCATGCTGGTGTTGGGTGTTCAATGACGGCGGCGCTTGATCACATACGATATCCTTCTCAAAGCTACAATGCACATATTCATGTGTGGTGTAACAGGACTGATGCTGATGCTGGGACTGTGTGGCGACAGCAGCGGCAGCGGCAGCGGCAGAGGTGATGGCAGAGGAGGAGGAATGCTGCTGCTGGTGCTCCTCCTCAGCGCGACTCGTTGAATGTACACTGGCAGTTTCAGGAGGTGAGGCGTTCCTCAGTCAAGGCCCGCTGTTCTGGCAGGCAGGTGCTTGCTGACGAAGGTGATGGGGCACAGAGGCAGCGCTCCGGCCCTGGTGTGTACTTCGGCCGCCGTCTAAAAATCGCTCGGATGCAGCTACAAGAAGCGTAAAGGCGCCAAGAACAAAAATCAAAATGATTTACCAATTAATAGAGCCTCCAATAAAGCTATTCTTCATTTTTATTTTTTTTTTTTTTGATTTTATATTCTTTTATATTGATTAGATTAGTTTTCTGGCGGGATTTAGCAAGTGGTTTAAGTGGTTAACGCTAACAGTGCATCCAAAAAGTACATGCCAATAATACACATGCGCATAGGTATTTTTATTTATAATGGCATACGTTCCAAGAAAAAGTCATGCAGCCTAAATAACTGAAGCAGCTGAATGATTCATGTGATTGAAATGAATTGTCAAAGCATTTCACAAAGTTATTTTCTCAAAAGTTTCGAAACTTCGAAAAAGTAAATTAGATTTATTTTGCGCCCAAAACTGTGCAATATTTTCGAAGCTGGTCGAAACAATTTCGAAAAAAATAGACTTTGCTTATGCATTCGACTGATCTCTGTTATTTTAAAGTATACTTTTAGGCGCATTATTGGCACTCAGTGTAGTGTTTTGTATTTGAAACGTGATTTCTTTCAGATATTGTTTACTTAGCCAATTCGTTCTGTTTGTTACTTTAGGTTGCTCCCAAGTTCGCTTTCACTTGCGTACTATAATTAAAAAAAACCAAGGAATAAAAATGATATAGTTTTAAAGCAGTTGATAAACTAGGTCTCTCAACATTAAATGGAACCGTCCGCAGTTCGTTGCAGCTTAGCCTAGGCAGATTGTGACTTAGATATGAGCAGATATTATATAGATTGCTGACGAGCTTGGTGCGATTGTGTTTATGGTATTCTTCCAAGCGGCACGCGCGGCATTTTCATGTAAATGCTTTGTGGCTCGGGGCCCCCATAGTTGGTGGCTTTTGTGGTGGCAGTGAATGTGGCTTAGAAGCTCTAAGGAGTAGTTACTGTTAACCTACATGACATTCTTCCATGCGCCGAGTGCCTGCGAAAGCTATCGTCTCGCCCATAGTCAGACTCTTGGTAGTAGCATTTACGATTAGGAACTGGCGTTTGTATATTTGTACCGTAGTTTGTATAGCAAGCCGTGGAGCCGGCCACGCCGACCCCGCCGCCCGCATAACTTGTTGACGTTGGACCCAAGAGATTGGTGCTATCGCTTAACGGATATGGACCCATGCCTTCAACCGTCAACGAGAACGAAGTCGTACCAAAGACTTTAGTATATATTTTGCAAGAGTTCAGTTTTATATGGTTTTTAATTTGTTCATGCATTTTTTTTTTTGTTGCGGATTGACGCCAATATTGTCCGATACGTTTCTCAATTAGTTACACACAGAAGTTATTATTAGTTATATTATTTGTGTTGTAGTTGTTTTTGGTTGATGTTGTTGTTGTTATTGTGTTGTAAAAATCCCAGTTGATAATTTGATTGGTTTCCCATATTGTTATTGGCCAATGTAATTGATTCGTTGATTTTAATGTTTTGGGGTTTTAATTAATGCAGCACAATTTAAATTTGTTAAGATAATTATGAATGTGTTGAAAATAAAGAATATGGTATAGTTAAATTTATATCCATTTTAGAAATTTTTTTTATAGTTATAGATCAAACAGCTAACATCAAAGATAAGAAACCAAGCAGCGTACAGAAAATGTAAAAGCAACAGATATGTATTTACATGATTAATAAAGTGATGCAATTGTTGATCCAATTCTTAAAACAAATAAGATATAATTTTTAAATATGTTCGAATAAATATTTGATAAAATCAACAATTGCATATCACTTTTCATTTTAAGAAAGCTATGTTCTATAATATAAACATATGCAAGAAAGAAAATAACTATTTCTCTAGATAATTTTGTGTGCTAATAAATATTACAGTATACTATGTAAAGTCATGCCAAGTTGCATACGTAGGAGTTAGACACATAAATAATGGCTTGACATGTTTGGATGTAAGTAAAAGAAGTGTTCAGCAAATGAAAATAAAATATTAAGATAGAGATAAGCTAATTACACGTAAATAAAATATATGATTATGCGTAATTTAGTGTAATTCTTTTCATAGTTTAACCATGTCTTTGTGTGTGTGTGTGTGTGTGTGTGTTATTGGACAAACATCTCGTATACACAATGCGAAAAAATTAATAATTCGACATGTTGAACATGTTGTGTAAAGGTATTTAGATGTCTTGTATATATACATGTGTGTAGGTGTATGTTTTACTAGTATATATGTTAGTTTGGTTTATACTTTTCGGCCAAGCTAAACGTCTGTTCTGTTTACCTAGAGGTCACTATGTTGGATGTGTGTGTTGTTGTGTGTTTGTTGTACAATATGGTTACATAAATACTGAGTTTGTTATTTGTATTGTTTTCAATTGTGGGTTTGGTTTTGGTTTTTGTTTTTTAAATTTGATTGAACGAACAATTTGCACAACAAATAATAGTTTGAAATTAAGAACGTAAGTTGGAATTTTGCTTGCAGTTTGTAATTCTTTTTTAAATTCTTACGTGAGTCATGTTGGGTCTTCTCCTCAGATACCATCAATGCGGCATGCTCGATGCCAGAATTCATACTTTGTGGCTCCAAGCTATTTGTGCAGTTTAGCATACTCCTGAAATTCGCACACTCTACGATTATGTTTTAAGTGTAAACGTATTTTAAATTTAATTTTGCAAACTAATGACAGCAATTTCGAGACTTTGGGCATAACACTAAAACGCTTACGCCTACAAAGGGGGTAGGGCAATCAGAAAAGGGTCGATGCCTACATCTGTCTGGTATGTCAGAAAAGTGTATATATATTTTTCTTAATGTGTGTAAGTTTACCTTGACTGAAAGAGCTTAGATCTTAAGTTAAGCTGGCTTGGAAGTTATTAAGCGAGGCTACAATATAAATAAAATAACAAAAACGAAAAATATTTAAACAACCTTAATAACTAAATATAATCGAACAAAATTTATTAAGTTCAACAATGAATATAAGAAAAACAATATGAAAAGTAACTTAATGATAAATACATAAAAATAAATTAAAAATAAACAATAGTAAATCGCAAGTGCTGTCGAAAACAAACTTTTTCGTTCAATTTCACATCGAAACTCGATGTTGAAATTGACAAAAAAAAGTGACTTCCGATTGTTGAGATTGCGACTGTTTCCTTGTGCACACATTGAAATGGCAATTAAATTTGCAAGGACACTGCAACAGGGAGGCAAACTACTCGACCGGCAGCTGCCCTACATTACTGCACTTTGGTTCGCGTCGCATTGGAGTCACGTTGCGATATCTCAATGTCCGCTGTGGAGCTACTGTTGCCATTGTCGTTGACACTGTCCCCACTAAATGGACAAGCAACATAATCAAAATGTGTTTTGTTAATTTATATGTTTATGTGAGCGTATGTGTGTGTGTGTGCGCGCATGTGGGTGTGTCTGTGAGCGAGTTTTCATGTGTTTTTGCTTTCATTTGTTGTTGTGCTTTGCGTTTATTTTATTTTTTTTTTTTTTTTTTTTGACTTAACACTGAAAATTGTTTGTGCTGTAAACTAACCAATTTATAAGGTATGAACAATGAGCAAGAGAACAAAGACTCGGAGGGGGATTGTTTAGATGTATGGGCGCTGCATGAATTAGAAATTGAATTTGAAATTGTTTTTTTTTTTTTTTTATAAAGTATTTGGTTTTTTAAGGGTAGGTGGAGGTGATATGAGAGAAATAGAAAGAGAGTTACAAAACGTTTGATAATGAAACATGGCATTTAAATAGAAGAGTACAGAGTATTTAAATTCATATTAAATATTTGAGTAGTTTATATTTAAATTGCTAAATATGAACTTGTATTAATTAAGTACTGGTCAGCTGTAGCCAGCTGTTAATTGATTGTTGTATTTGGTTTTGTAATGTAATTGTAACAAAGTAACGAGTACAGGCAAAGTTAAGCAGACATGCCGAAAAAGTATGAAACTTTGAGCGCAAGTTTTCATAGAATTTAATTTAGTTTGTTTTATTTTATTTGTTTTTATTTTTTTTTTTTTTTTAATTAATTAATTAAATGTACAATAAAGTTGCTTTAGAGTGAACTAATAAAGTACAGTAAATGAGCTACGTTTAAATAGAGCGAAACGCTTCGGATTGTAGTTTGATTTTAGCTTTGATCAGGAGTTTATCGAGCTGTTTACTGGTTGTTTTTACTTTAGTTAGTTTTTTTTTTCAGTTTCTCTTAGTTCATGCAACTTACCCGTACAGTCTACTATCTCGAAATGTCCTTCAGATTTGGGCATACATAGAATGGACATGGTTGGTATTATTTTCAATACAGTCGATAAAACACAATGTGCAACAAAATAAACAAGGGATAAATTTCAAAAATCAACAACTGACTCCTGCATCGCATAGCTGGCAGGCTATACGATCCAAAAAATAAAAAAAAAACATTATGCACTCCGCATAATTAACTTCCAAGTACATAATTGATGAAAATATATTCAGCTACTAGCTGGGCTTCGTTTCATTTGGGGTTAGTTTTTGGTTAGCTTTGTGGAAATGTGGTTGATATGCTCAGAGGGGTGATGGTCTCCTTTTTTTGTTCAGAACTAGTTATCAAATCGTAGTGAGCTGTGTGCAAGGCCTATGCTCTAGAACTAATCTAAAACTTACCTGCCGTTATTGTGACGGAAGAGTGCCAAGATTTCCTCAAAGGTTTTGTTTTTGGTCTCAGGAACCTTTTTGTAGGTGAATATCCAGAATATCGCTAAGAACACGCTAAATGGCAAAAACGTATAGTTCTCGAGTGCGGTCTGAAAGCAGTAAGAAAAATTATAATTAATTTCACAATATTCATGGTGAACCACCCACCTTCATGCTGGGGAAACCAATCCCGACCACAAAATTGGCCATCCAATTGACCAGCACTGCAATGGCCATGGCACTGGGCCGTGGGCCTTGGGAGAACAATTCCGCTGTTATCATCCATGGTATGGAGCCGGGTCCCACGGCAAAGAATACGACAAAGCCAAGCGTTGCGACCACAGATAGATATGACATCCAGTCGATCATTTCCTGCACATAACCAAAAAACTCCTATACAAAATGCATAGTAATCGCATTCTCGATGATTTGTAGGCTTTTCGTATTATATAAATTTTTATTTTCTTTCGTTTAACGAACTTTTCGTTGATTACAAACCAAAACAAATCAAAGAGTATTCATCATATCAATAATAAAGTAAAGTAAAGTTTTAAAGTTAAACCCTCTATATAAATCTGATCACTTTTATGCATGAGTTGAGCTTTTCTCTAGGATTTATGAACTTAGTTAAGATACTTTTTTTAAAGTAGTTGATATCTTGGTTCTCAAAGAGTTGAATGGTTACCACTTGTTCTCATCGCTGCACATTTCACAAAACAAACTGTCACTTGAGTTTTTATTCTTTTGCTGTAACCTTTGGAGAACGCTTAAAGTACAAGTAGTAGAAAATACTAGAATATCTTAAATAAATAATATTATATAGATTAGGTTTAAATTCAAGTCTATGTAATAAATTAAGCGGCGTGTTACACATTTGAGAGTGTGTGAGTTTTGTGTGTATTTGAAGGTGGCCTTTTAAAGCGGTTTTCAGCGCGTGTTCTGCTCTAGTATCAATTTAGCGACAGCTTTGTACATTTTCCAACACTGGCTTGTGTCTTGCTGTTGGCTGTGTGTGAACTGTTTGCATTTGGTGCCCGGAAAACTTATTGCAAATCGTGTGAATTGTATTTGCATTTGAAACTGTGTCATTTTTCTTGTAATGGCCCAATTAAGTTTACAAAATTAATATAAGAAATAATGATATAAATTAAGATTTTGCACATTCGTTAAATGAATTGTGTTTGTACGGGGCCAAAAGCCTGGCAAGTCGAGAGTAGCTTTTAAATGAGGGGCGAGACAATTGCCCAAATAAGCTGTTACTTGAACTCGGCCAGTTAAAACGAAGCCTTTTTCTTCAAATTTTAAAAGGCAGCTTTAAATGTTGGTTACACATGGTTTGCATGCAATTTCTGAATGAGCAGCTTATTTAGGCAATAACTTAACCTAGACAAGACAATCAGAAACTAAATAAACATATACACTTTATGAAGCAAGCTATAAACTTAAGTTAAGGTGCAAAAACAGGCAGCAAGCTTGGGGTTATAATAATGAAATACGTAAATATTCTAGTACAAAAAAATCTATATGTAGTAATATCTAAACTTATTTAGTTTGAATAGGAAATGTAATAAAAATTAAACAATTGCTTAATTCTTATAAAAGCGTATGTTAAATGCATTCATTCGTATTAACTTGATATATGTGTTGCATTTAAAACATATTTTATTAAAAAATTAATAAGTGCAGCGGCTTAGCGGCAGCCCATAAATAACATAATATATTGTATACACTAATTTAAACGTAATTCTCTATATACATACATATATATTGTAGTAATGCAATGGGATAGAAACGAATGAAAAACTGATTGCTGGCAGAGGCGCAGCTATAAATTCAACTTATTATAAATTCAAATATACATATCTCACATCAATAATTTATATATATATACGCAGGGGACAACTGTCATGCAATGGTTTTTTTTTTTTGTGAAACCCGCCCTTTTTGATTATTTTTGTATATCGTCAGGGGCTTATTTGGGGGGCTAGACAACTTCATGCATAAAATATCTATGTCAATATTCAAATATTTATAAAAACACACGCATAAATATTCGTGTATAATTTAGATGCAGCATTAGGTTTAAAATATTTTGACAGCATCTTAAAATCATTATCAAAATCAAATGCAATATGCCTAAAACGTATGCAAAAACTTAAAAAGTTCAGGCGAATATTTGCCACACTTCAAAATATTGAAATCTAAATAGTAGCTATGTAAAATAGATGTAACCCTTGTACTTGCCTTAATCAAAAAGGAAATCGTTATAAATATGGAGAAGATGAACATGCCACCCAGGCCATACAAATGCAATGTACGACGGCCGGTACGGTCCATTAGCGGTATGGACACCAAAGTCATAACAACCTGTACGATAAAACAAGATATTTGTAATCAAATTAAAGTATTGACGAGCCTTTAGCGTTTACCATAATGGCGCCAATGCCTATCGTGGCAAACTTGGCGCTTTCCTCGGTCAGACCAGAGCTCATGAAGAGCGATGTGGAGTAGTAGAAGACGGCATTGATGCCGCTAAACTGTTGACTCAGCTGCATCACGATACCAATGATCAATGGTGGACGCAACGTAGGCGAGCAAATGAGCTCCATGGTCGATATATGGCTCTCGGACTGTTGGGCGCGTTCCTCAGCGCGCATTTCCTCAATGTCTTCATCTACGGAGCCGGAGGCGCGCAGGCGTCGCAATGCTGCACAAGGAAAAAAATAAATTGTATTGGTTCGCATTAACTATTACGCACTAGTTGTTACCTTTACGCGCCTCCTCCTCCCATTGTTTCGTTATGAGCAAATATCTAGGCGATTCGGGACAAACTGGCAGTAATATTAATTGCAATATTGCTGGACATATGGCCAGGCCCAGTAGTATGGGCCAGCCCTCATTAGTGCCTAAGATTTGTTCAATGCCCAGCACCTGGGATAATAGTAAACCTACAGTCACAGCCAATTGATTAACAGTACCTAAACCACCGCGTAGATTCAGTGGTGCTATTTCAGAGATGTACATTGGCACCAATGATGTATTGAGACCTGTAACGAGCGGTTGGTAAAGGAATGTTGCAACTTGCTGTTAGACTTGCATTTGGCCATATATCACTTACCGCAATTAACACCAATTATAAATCGGCCAAGGAATAACATTTCATAGGAATGACTAACTTTGGTAAAACCCATCAAGCAGGCGCCCGATATACCAAGCACATTGTTTAACAATAGACCGCCTTTTCTGTGGGCCCCAAATACAAGAATGTAAATATTGGAGCACTGAGTTTTAATAGGATTGGTTACAAACCTGCCAAAGCGATTTGCCATCCAGCCACCACTGAAACCACCCAGCATGCCGCCAATGGCAAATATGGAGACGGCAACTGAGTACAGCTGTTGTATAAACTCCTCGCTAATGTCCTCGCCATAGCGATCCTTGTACACATCTTTCATAAAATTCTCAATATTCTTTTCGGGCGCATTGATGACTCCAGTATTGTAGCCAAATTGCAGCATACCCAGCACCGCCGAGAATATGGAGTAGGTGAGGAAGAAGGTCAGACCCTGTAAAGGTTACCAAAAATTATTAAATTAGTAGAGCACGATATAAACAACTGAAGGAAGGGAATCGGGATGATTGGTTGGGTATGTGCGGGTTCTTCAAACGCTTTGCAAACGAGTGTGCATCACAAATTAAATTATATATCATATTTTAGAGATGACGCCAATCGCTACTAGTTTTAAATTCAAATCAAAATTATAAACACTTTGAAATAAATTGAAATTAGTATCAGGTAATTCATAAAATGGATAAAGGGGCGCATGTAAAATAATAGAAACAAAACAAATGAAATAATACAAGTATCTAAAGAGTTTTGGAATATTAATCTCAAATTTATTATCAAACAATTTACAAAACATAATAGGATTAAAAATAAACCATTTAAAAATTGTGAATTTCAAAGCCGTCTGTGTATGTGGGGTTTTAGAAAGTTGCGCCCATGTTACTCATTTATAATATTTTGTTAAAGAGAAAACAATACAAATAAATTCTAAGAAATTCCATCATGAGCACAACTTTTCAGTGTCGTATTGTTCGGTTGTGTGTTTGTTTTGTTTTTAGGTGTTTGGTTTTGGTTCGGTTTGGTTTTGGTTTGGTTTGTACATGAATATAAATGAAATTCAAGTATTTAATTACACAACATGGCAAATAATTTAAGCTACAAACTTGTTCTAAAAGTCTTAGCTTCCGTCTGTGCGTGTGCTCCTCCAGTCTGTCCACATATTCGCGGAGCTCCTCAATCTCCTCCTTCACCTGCTGCACGGTGTCCAGTTCGTGTTTGATTGCCACCATGTCACGTTTGACCTACACACAGCAGCAAATCCAATTTGAGACACAGTTCGGTGTTAATTTGGTGCATTCCACTTACCTCCGATACCTCACTCTGGCAGCTCTCCACGGACTTGGTCAGCTCCTGCAGCTGTGTGCGGATTTCGCACAAGGCGACTGTCGTCTCCAGGTGTCGATCGCCTCGCTGCAGTTCATCGAGTTTCGCTGATAGATTCATGCTCATCACGCTAACTTGCTTTTGCAAACTGCGGCACGGTGTTGCAGTCCCAGTTGCAGTTGCAATTACGTACGACCGCCCATCACAAATGGGCGTTTCACACACACACACACGTGTATGCATGTGTGTTTGTATGAGTGAGTATGGTGCGGTGGGCGTGGCCGTGGCCGAGTGCGGGTCATATGCGTGCAATGCATACAATTCAATTGACGACGTTGCGTGACGTCACGTGCCGACGCCAAGTCACGCAAAGTGCCCCCAAGACATTTGGTTGTTGTTCACATATATTTGTTGCAGCAGTTGTTGCAGTAGTTGTTGTTGTTATTGTTGTTGTAGAAGTTGTGTTTGTTACAGTTAAAGAAAATATCAAGCAAAAATGCACTTTAGTTGTACGATAGCTGGAAAATGCCTTTCTGGCTTTTATTACGCTACAGACTACGTAGTTATTTAGCGTATCAACGTAATTTATTTTGCGGTGCAAGTCGAGCAAACCAAGGCACAAAACGAAATTATTTATGACCGCTTACATTAAAATTTACCGAGCTATGCAATTATTGAGGAATGAAGCAACATAAATTTTATGGCTTTGGGCTGCAACTAAAACTCAAAATACAAAATACAAAACTCAGAAAGCAGACACAAACTACAGAACACACAGGCAGGCAATAGCAACAAACCAAGCAGAGCTCTAAGTAAACGAAAGGATTTGTGTGTTGTTGCGGTTCCACAGGGAGAGAAAAAGAGACAGAGAGAGAGAGAGAGATGGAGCAGCAACAACACTAACTGAAAAGCCAAACCAAGCCACCAAGTATATAAAAAGTAAGTTAAAGTAAATTGTTGGCATTTTTCGTTAAGGTTAAGGCAAGAATAATGCAGCAAGAGTCGGGAAATAAAAAGGACAAATGATCTTTGTGTAGGCACCGAGACTTTAATACTCTTACTAAGCTTTGACTATACAAGTTATATAAAACTTAGTAATTAAAACAATCAGAAATGCAAAATATAAATAAAAGTAATCTGCCTTGTTCAAAATTCTATGTGTCCTGCATATCAACCATTTTCTAAAATCAAAAGTAGTTTTCCATATTTCACGACATTTGTACTAGCTAGTATCAATTATTTGTCCCACTTTGAATTACTGCCCCGTTTCTACTGTACCCAAAAATTGAAAAGCGCTTTAACCTATTTGAAATTTATGCACAATCGAATTTTGTAAATAATGCTTTGTTGTCCTAACCCGAGTTAGTGTATACCAAGTGAAGTAATCACTTTTGTTGCCCGGCTTAGATTCGACTTTGAGCCCTTACAGAATGCATACAATTTACATTTTCATCAACATGTAGCGACATTCAAACAAATAAACGCCCACGCATCTATGTAGATGTGTGTGCGTGTGTGTTTGCATTTGCCTTGCCTGCGTTGGGCTGAGCGAGAGTGCCAGCCAAAAGCACTATATGTACATAGTACGTATCTATGACTGAAAGTGAGAAGTGCTTTTTGTTGGTTGAGCAAACAAAACGCGCGAGTGGCGCCCAAAATCAAACAGCAACAACAAACAAAACAGGACATAGTGGCAAAAGTTATAGGCGACAGTTGCACACGCTCTATAGGGAAATGTGCGATAGAATGTTGGTTTGGGGCAGGATGGATGATAACTGGTGGACACAATGCGCATACGACACGTGGGCCGCATGGCTTGCCCCCATTTCCATGCCTGCAATGCCATGCACTTGAGTTGGCTGCGCATTATGTTAATGCGCCTATGCACCAGGCAGGGGATAGGGGGCAGGGGGCAGTAGCCAGGCAGCGGGAGTTATTCGCAACATGTTGTCATTTTGTTGTTGTTGCTGTTGTTGTTGCTGTTGTTGTTGTTGTTGTTATTATTGTTATTGTTTTGCATTTCACGGACATTGTTGTGCCGAGCATAAAAGGATTATTTTATGCATACATCAGCAAACGAGCTGCAGAGCAACGAGCAGCACAGCCAGGACCAGAACGAGCCGCATCCTGTGTAAGTTATTGTTCTCCATGAAAACAATTGTTGTTTGTGCATATGTATTGGCATGCATATCTTTATCCTATATCACTATAGCTATAACCGAATCTCTATATGCATCTGTATTCATATAGCGTATACGTATATTTGGGCACGTATGTGTGATTCCGTGTGTGTGTGTGTGCGTGTGAATCTGTCAGATGCAAGTATTTTCGGTTTTATGTAACGGATTTGTATACGTGAGCATTTAATAAAATTTCTGCCAATTTCTGCCAACAGAGTACGCAGCTTATTGCTGCTGCTGCTGCAGTTGCTGCTGCAGTTGCTGCTGCTGCTGCTGCTGCTGTTGCAGTTGCAGCTACCTTTTGTATTCATTTAAGGTATCGTATACGTGCGCTTGACGCTTTTAACGGAGTTGTCCTTTGCCGTGACTGCGCCTGCATAGTATATAAAATATAATAATACATTTTGGATGTTTGTGCATTTTGACAGGGTATACGGGTGGGTGAAGGGTATCTGAATATCAGCAACCTGGCAAATGTAACTCGGATTAACCATAAAGTAACCATAACAACTAACGTATCTATAGATTTCAGTTTTTTTAACCCCGCTCGCTTCTCATTTAATTAAAGTTATTGTACACTGACACAATATTTTGCAGATTTAAAACCAAAATACTTGGAATAAAATATTTTGTAATATAATACATATTTGTACAGATTAAAGTTGTTAAGACCAATTGGCATATGGGACATTCACCAAATGTACGCATTTCGATATTATTTTTATTATTATTACTTTTTTTGCGGCGCTGTTTGCATTTAATGGCATTTAAATCAATTTTCGTTTTATTTGACGTTCACGTTGAATTTGTTACATTTTAGTTAGATTAAATTTGTTTATTATTGCATTTTTTTTGCTTTTTTTTCTATGCTTTTTGTTGTTGTTGTATAATTTGGCATGAATTAACATTTATTTGTAGTTTTCAAATTTGATTTATATATATTGGATGCTAAAATGAGACAACACACATGAGGTAGAAAATAAATGCACCAATTTGTATGGCAGTCGCAATAAAGTGATATAGATGAATCAACAAATAGAAACGGACTCTTAACGTTTTGTACGAGCATTTCGTTTTTTTGTTCAAACATGTCATTTATTTATTGTTTTGATTGGTGAGAGGACCATTCCGCCAATTAGTAAAACAAATTTTTTGAAATTAAAACATGTTTAAAGATTTTTGAAATGGATAAACAAGTTAAGTAAAAGAAGGACAGATTACAAAATATTGTGTGATGTGCAAATTGAATTAAGAGATGAGCTTTTCTTTATAAAAAGCTTACGCTCGACATTTGAGGTGTGAAGGGGGAATGGGATTAGGAAAGTTGAATGATAATTATGTCATTGATGGCATGCAAAGTAGGGGTCGATAGCTGAATGAGTCAGGTTGAGTGCCGAATGTTGATTGACTGACTGCAAGGACGAGGATGTTGTTGTTGATGATTGAATGTGGGTTTTGGGTTGAGTGTGCGTGTAGGCATGTGTGTGCATCTGTGTGTGTGCTTTGAAGTGCGTACAGCGACTTAATGGCACTCGAACACTTTTCGGCATGTCATAAAGAACATAACACATACACAAGCACGCGCACACGCACACACGGGCACACAATAAGAGCAGCAGAGGCTTCAGTACTGAGATTGTTGTGGCTGCTCTCAAGTGCCCTACAATAAGCATCAAGTGTGTGGGGCAGTGTGTCGGGAAACCACAGTGTCACCACCGCACCACATACTTTTAACTAGTATTGCAAAATGCGTCCTGGCTGCAGCGACAATAATTACATTTTAACAACTAAATTATATTTAGGCATATTAATTGAAATTTAATTGTCTGGCATGCAATTCTCGTGAGCAGGAGTTTTGTATTTTGGTTTTGCGCTAAATATTGTAAATAATTATCAAATCAATTGAATGGTCTATGAAGTGCCATAGTGAAAGTGCATAGCATTAGAGGAGGTATGTTACAAAAGGACTAGCAGAAAATAAATAGCTGGTACTTAGACAGGTAGATATGTGGTATATAAGTGGTATATAATGTATGGTTATGTATATATAGTAAATAGTTTCTTTGTAGTTGCATGGAAATGGAAATTGCATACTCATTGAGTGGCGTGAATACCAAACCACTTTGGGTGTGGCTTCTGTAATTTGTAGTTGTTATTGTTGTTGTTGTTGTAATAGTTGCAGTTATTGTTGTTGTAATGGTAGATTGTTGTTGTGGGCGAGGGGAGTAGATGACAAGAGAATAGTAATAATGAAAATGGTTGTTAAACAGTTCAGTTCCATGTTTCGCAATGACAGGTATCAATACAGAATTGAAATTGAATTTGAAATTTGGAACGGAGCTGTCCAAAAAGTACAATTCCGCAAAAACGTTTATTTTGATTAGAAAAATACTTCTTGGTGCTTGCATTAAATGAAAACCAATTCGATATAATCTAAATAGATAATATATGTACATGAAGACGATTTTTTTTGTAGCCCAATCGATTAAAGAACGACATAAAATTTAAATTACCCTTACACAATGACAAAATGTGAACAAATTTAATAAATGCATTAATTTGCATTATGAAATAATTGTGTTACTTTCACACAGCTTACGTTGAAGCAACAAAACGAATGAAGCGAATTAAACATTTTTTAATTAAACTTATACAAATAAAAATTTCCAACCGCTTACAGGATACAAACGTCACTCACATACGTACACGCACGCACACTCAGATATAATTACAAAAAACAAAAAAACCGAGAAGAAAGAAAAAATGAGAGCGTTTATTTAATAGATTTGCATTATTCTAAAATATTTGTACGGTGAAAAGTAAACATATAGAGAAATGAATACATGGCGGATGCGTAATTTTCGAGTTATTAATTATAACTATGCTTTGTTGTTTATATTAAAATTAATTTGAATAGTTTGGAATGCTTTGTATATGTACCTGGGTGGCATTGTGCCCATCATTTTGTTGCCTTTTTTTCGTGTTCACACTCCGTCGATTATTTGCTTAACAATTTATTCTTATCTCTCTCTCACTCTCTCTTGATTTTTTTTTTTTTTAGTTATGCATCAAAAAACGTTTAGCTTAATTAAAATTTTTTCATGGTTTCTTCTGTTTGCTTTGTTGTGGAATTTTTTCAGCGAATTTCTTAACCCGAGTTTTGGTGAATGTCGCATGTGCTCGCAGCTGTTATTAATATTTTGTTTGATAGTATTTGGGCAATTTTAATTTATTATGTTTAACATTTTTTGTTCGTTTCTGGGTAGTTGCGCAACAAAAACAACACAACACAAATGGCCTCAATGAATAATTGACATTTTAAGGACACGCGCTAGACACTTAAATGAACATAATTTGCGCTTATCTGTGTGGAGGGGAAAGTAGAAGAGTTTAAATATTTGCACATATATATTGCAAAAATCCAAAGAACAACAACAAATAATGAATATACTAATTCGAATATAAAAATAGTTGTAAATCGGAATCTGTGGAAATTACATTGTTTGTGCATTCAATTAAAGTACAAAACAAACTGACAATAATTTCGCGTGTTTGCTGATTTGTAAATTAAACAACCGCCCCCAATTCGAGAGTAGGCAAATACATAAATTAAATTTAAATTATTTGTGCGTGCCATTAAATGTATAAATTAAAAACTTTGAGTATTCTTTGTGGAACAAATTAAATATGCATATCGTAAAATAATTGCTGTTTATTTGTCTAGCTAAATGCTAATACTTTATGGCGGACAGTTTGTGGCATGCAAATTAAATGACGCATAATGAGGGGACACGCAAAAAAGTGTTGTTTCTGTGGCTGTTGCAGTTGCAGTTGCAGTTGCACATTCCACGCCATGTTCATTATGTGTTCATTTCATTTGCATGAACGGTCAGATAGAGTTCATTGGTTGTCAGTCTACATACTCGAGCAGCAATTGGCGCAGTGTTGCCTCATCCTCGCCATGACATCTCAATCTAGACTCGCGGTCACGATCATCACGGCTCGAGTGGCGCTGGCGCTTGGGGGCATAGCTAAAGGAATGACGATAGAAACGGCCGTTGTTTATATTTTCACCTCGATAGGCGTCTGTGGGTGGCATTCAAAAGAAATGAGTAGCTAAGCAGTTGGCTGGATATATTTGGATTGCAAAACTAAGATACGCACCTTCGGGTCGCAGGCGCACTGGCGGCGAGGTCAGCTTAAGTTGTGTTGACGTTGTTGTGGGCGGAGTCTTACGTCGACCACCAAAAACATAATCGTAAGAATCTTCGCTCAAATTGGACACTGAACAAGGCATACACGACAAGAAGAATAACGAGCAGGCTCATAAGGATTTATGGTGAAACCAAACCACTTAAGGATTACGCACAACTCTGGTTCAAGACCCAAAGTACAAATAAAAAAAATTTCTCAAAAAAAAAAAAAAAAACAAAACACAAGTACAAATAAAAAGGCAACAGCAGTGAGCAAAAAATTTGCACAGCATATTTTAGCAACAAATATATATAATTAAAAGTAAATAATGTAGTTTACATTAAAAGTAAGCTATTGTTCTTCCTAATTGGTTCTTGTTGTGGTTGTTGTTGCAGTTTTATACTCACTCTACATTAAAATGAACCCATAAAAGCATATTATTCAATATAAATAGTAAATTATTTGTCATGATTTGTTATCATATTCGTTTTGTTGTTTTGTCCGGTTTATAAAAATAGAGGAAGAGAGCACAAAATTGTTATAGTTTGTTAGCATTTTGTTATTTTTTGTGTTTTTTTTTTTCGGTTTTTTTTATTTGACAGTTGTGGGACAGCTCTAAGGTAAGTGAAGTGGAATGAGTAACGGCTGGCAAACGTTCAAAAAATGTTTACAAAGCAGCTGCGAATTACATTTAATATATGTATTTTTTTTCTAACAAACATTTTCAAAAAAAAGGACCAAAAATACGAATAAATACACAGCAGCATCAAAACAGAGCATAGCTACTTCAAAAAGTTTTTTTTTTATTTATTTTAAAGGGGGCTAACAAAAAATAATTTTTTTTTAGTAGTTAGTCAAAAAGTTGAAAATACAAAGAGCAAGCATAGGATAGAGGACAGAGAAAGAGCGACATTTAATTAATGGACGACTGTTGGTTGACTTTTTTTTTGTTTTTTGAAGGGTATTCGATTGATTGATTGATTGATTGATTGACTGAATGAGTGCGGCTGGCGCAGCTGAAAAATGCTAAACAAAGTTAACAAAAATGTGTGTGTAACTGTAACGCGTTGTGGTATGTTTGATTTCACGTGTCTAGGAATGTGTGTGTGTGTGGGGGGGTTTGGGTGTGTGTGTGTGTGTCAGTGAAGGAGCGTATGCCAAAACGTGAAGTCTCTCGTATGCTATGGCAGGTATTGCTGTGATGGAGTCGAAATCAAAATAAACGAGTATAAAATACAGCAGCAATTATGCCAGCAAACAAATCAAAAATCCAATCTACACACCAATTCAAGTGGCAATACAATATATGAAAAATCAAATACTTTTCTTTTTTTTCTTTATATAAATGTGCAGACGAATAAAAGCTATAGATAAAATTAATAGAAAAAAAAAACTGACAAAATAAACTCAGGCAAACAACAACAAACAATCAAAGTGAGCATATAGGCCTGAAGAGATTGGCTCTTTGTGCACCTGGAAATACGCTCAACGGCTGAAGCACTTGGGTGGAACGCAACGGCGGTGGTAGCGGTGGCAGCTGTCCAAACGGATCTTGATCGTTTGAAATGGAAGACGTTGGCGGCGAGATCATCGATATATCACCATTGGTCGCCATTTCATAACTGTGGCCAGCTGCAAGAGATTTCAAAGACGTAAAAAGCGTTACACGACAACATTTTAATATTTGAGACCACCAAAGGAAATAAACCATCAACGCACACTCACAGACGCACAATAAAAGGCGCCAGCAAGCGGTAAAGGTAAAAATGTGTTGTGGCGCCATATTTCGCACATGCATAAATTGTGTGGCAAGACCAAGAGGCAGGGGCAGCTGCACGGCACGCATGCATGACTGCATAGGTAAAGCTTTTAGCCCGCCAACGCCTCGATGGGCAAACAGACTGAGGCACACACACGCACACGCACACACGGCAAAGGATTGGAAGCCACAGGAGCAGTTAAGTAGGGTGCCGCATATGTGACTCCTCCTTACATTTGGCTTAGTTCCAGGAACGGGACTCCAGATCTGCATCTGGGTCTTGGGCACGTTGCGTGCCTTTGCATAAAATAGATTTCATTTTGATTCGCTTGAGCAGCAGCACAAGGAAAACCTCACAAAATTAAAGAAAGCATTACAAGTCGCAATAGGAATGCCCTAGAAATAAAAATTGCTACGGACGATACATTTAAATGGAAACACTCTGCATCAATCTAGTTCACTTATGCATACAAAAAGTGTTTTAATAGACAGTTAGAGCTTTGACCAACAATTGTCTATTTGTGGCATTCTAGTTGAATAAATATTTCTAGTCTATGAAAGGATTAATTTTCGAAAAAAACTTGTATTCGATACTATATGTAAAATAATAAATTTGATTACTCTGTAAATCTAGAGGTGTTATGTAAAAATATCTTCAAGATACAATCTTTTTATGAGTTGCTATCTTAAAGCATGCCACTCGCCTTTGCATACCCTTTCGCAATAAAGCACAATTTGCATTCCTTACTTTTTTTTGGCATAACACACACTTACACCCAAGAGTTGTAGGTGGGCTTAAAAAATGCCTCGCTAGCTGCGATAAATGTGCCCGTAGTCAGCTTCTTGTTGTGGTTTGCTATGGATTCCGCAGGCCAACACTTGAGCCTGCATACACACAAAAACACAAACACTATGCCACCACAAACAACAACAACAACAGCAACACGTGCAGCTTTCCGTACGGTTCGGTATTTTGAATTTTTATTATTTGCAATTTGCGTTAATGTTGTGGAAAAAAGCATGTGGCTGTTATGGCTGCTGGCTTTAGCTATAAGCATCATATGTCTGTGTGCGATTGTGTGAGTGTGTGTGTTTTTCTATAGCATATTGAATGGCCATTTGTGCCACACTCACACACACACACCCACAAATAGAGTGAGAGAGGCACACTAATGACCGTTTCATGGCCGCCTGTCGATGAATGTAAGAAATGTGGGCAAATTATGGAAGGATCAGGCGTGTATATCCCTTGCCAGTTGTCGTTATTGACAAAATGATTTGTAAACATTTTGCGCGTCATTAGCTGCAGTCATTGCCAACGGTTGAAAAGTCCGCAATGGCATTTAAGCATTTTCGCATTTAACAGATTAAAATCATGCATGCATCAACATTTCTTCAACTGCTTCACTCTGTGAATGCGTGGCAAGTATGTGTATGGCGTGTGGCAGGATGCAGCGCCACCTGGTTTAGTTCTTTGCTGACACTGCAACTGCTTCCGGCTTCAATTGCATCAATGCCCGGCATCAAGAGACGACCAGCCAGACCATGTACGCCAAATAGAAGTCAAGTCTCCGACCGAGTCACTGTCAACGGACGTGAAGAGTTGCCTCAATCTCCACATGTGGTATGCAAATATTTGCTTAAATTTGTGCTGAGGTTAAGTTTTTTGTTTGTTTTGGCTTTGCACCACCACAGCTGCAGGAGCAGCAGCACAAAGTTGATGACAGACATTCAATGGGCTGGGTTATGCTTCAGTCTGGCTAGTTGCATCCCCATTCGTATGCCCGACTAGACTCCCTGCTTCTAATCACTTCACCCTCCCTTCCATCCCTTCCGTCTCTTCCTTCTATATATGTCATCTTACATACTGGCTAGCTGACACAGAAAAATAGTTGTGGAAAATGGGAGCCCTGCGTTTTGACTGCATGCCAAGGCCTCCACTGCAGAAACAGCTTCAAATCTGACGATGCTGATGACGCAAGTACGCCAGTGTATGCGTGTATGTGTGTGGCTGCATTGAGCAGTAAGTCATTTATGAGCGAGTGTGTGTATCTGACTTTGAGGCTTGGCCATTGACAAAAGTGCTCTGCTTGCGCTCTCTGGCCTGGCAGTTATGAAAAGTGGCCTCAGCAGCAACTGCTGCACCCCTCGTGGCGCTCTGTTAGCTTTTAATAATTGAATATTATGCAATCAATGTGTCAGAGTGCTTGCATTGACTTGGGCGCATATTTTATTGCATACTTTCAGTCGAGGCAATGTCCCTTATTGCATTATTTATATTAAATTTTTGCGAATATAAACAATTTCGTATGCAAGTGTGCGTGTGTTACCCGCGCTTGATTATATGCTATGGTATTTGCATAAACCTTGCCACAATTTTATACCCATTCAACAATTTTAGAAATGGGCATTAATAGCCCAAAGTAAGAAAGAAAACAAACATGTTAATTGGATTTTATTGGGCCTGAGTCTGTTCTTAACAGCACAGAACTTTGATATTTCATATTTTCAAACTTCCAAATAGCTGCTAGTAGTTCCAGGGTATCTTTTTGTAAAATGTCTTTGCCTCGAGCTTTTCAACTCGTTTATGAAATTTCTGCAAGTTTTCAACGACTTGGCATAAATTGGATGCTAACCCACTCTACAAATTATCATGAATAACTTGCAGAGTTTTTAACTTTCGCACAAGTCATTGCTTAACTTCTGCAGTCTCAGACAGTTCATTTTATTAGCTTAATTTTTGATTTGTCTAAGAACTTGAGCACAATTCTCTAATTTTACGCATTCCCTCTCTCTAACTATCTCTATCTAAAGCGCTGTTTCTCTCGCTGGCAGTCTCCAATCAAATTAGCAAGTAAAATTGAAAACTGATTTATTCATGAGCGCAACTAACCATTTTTTGAGATAAGAATAATTTAAAATTCAATTAAATAACGCCCCACTCTCGCTCACACGCACACGCACACACACACACACACGCACGTCAACGGCACGTACAATGGAAAGTTGAGAATCTGAGTTTGTTATACTTAGTTCACAGCTTGTATTGTCCTGGGAATGCATTTGCATTTGTTGCATTCTATTCAATGTGAATTTTGTTTTTGGGTAATCAATTGCAAGAAAGCGCTTATGCCTTGGGCGCTTGTCAACTAAATATCGTTGATTAAATGAAACAAAAGCCGCAGACAGACAAGTGCGAAATCGCTTCCGCACATCTGCACACCGGCACACCTGCACAACTGCACACCTGGACACCTGCACACAGAATGCAACCACAGCTCTATTAGTTATTGTGTGCCCTGTTCTTCTTCTTCTCCTTATTGTTGTTGTGTGTATGTTCATTAATAGGCTTTTGTATTTGTTAACCACAAAAATGATTGCCGCTCAAATGCACATGAATGTGCCATTGTTGTTGCGGCCATATGCCATACCAAACCGCAAAATCCTATATTATTGCGTTGGCTTAAGCCAGAAAACGCATGGCGTATAAATTTAATACTGTTTGCAGTTCAAACGTGGCTTGCAAAAGTGGGTGCCAGAATAGGGGACCAAGAGCAGTCTGCAATGTAAGCACGTGTCTGTCGGCGACACTTGACAATCAGCATCAAAACAGATGGAAACACACACACACATACACACACACGCATATATATGGAGCGACTGGCCAGACAGTATAGCACTGAAGATGAAGGCTTGCCTGCCTGGTGCTGGCAAAAGTGAATTGGTTTTCGACATCGACGCCGTCATTGTCATCCTATTGGTTCTGGTACTGGCTCTGGCGCTGGTTCTGGCACTGGTAATAGTCCTGGTGCTGGTCTAGCAGGCAATTTCTTGTTGCCGTCCTGTCAGTCTATCCGCAAGCCACGTATTGGCAGTGCGGACAGCTGTTTATACACACAGACTCACACTTGCACATTTGCCACTGCTGTCCTATGGGTTGTTATTATTGTTTTCTTTTTTCGTTTGGGCAAAGTTTACACGTATTATCAGCGCTGTTTATTTGTCAACATACGTTTCTCTCTCTCTCTCTCTATATATATATAAGTATTTTAAAAATCACATTCATTAAGTTGCTGCACATGCGGCGTATGATTAATATTATGCTTTCACCAGAACGTGGTCAACACTGCAGCTGCAATCGCCGGCAGGACTTGTAAACATTCATATAACAAAAAAATGGTCGAGGCTATCGCTTTAACGCTTCATCTGGTACTTTAGCCAGAACGAGCGGACATTTTGCACATTATTAAAATTACTTGAGTGCCCGTCGAGGTTGCCGCCGGTGGCGACAGTGTGTTTAATGCGAAATATGTACATCACGCATACGACACGTTTAACGATCAAAAACAACAAGAAAGTGCACAACTTGGCTTGATTATGGCCATAAGCACATCGTATAATGTAAATATGAGTTTTCGCAATTGCATTGAAATATCACATCAAAAAACTGAAAACCCATTCAGGTGGACTTATATTACCTTTTTATAAATGGCATCAATGAATGAATATTTAACTTATTTATATTAGTAGAACGCTTAGTTACAGTACAAGACCGATAAAGCTATATTATATAGCCACACCGAATTCGCTTGAAACTAATCCAAAAGGCAATCAACCGCACATGGAGTAATAGCTTTGACTTTTGTTAAAAACTTACATATTGTATTTATTTAACTGGAGTTATATGTACTTACCGTTGCACATAGGAAAGCCATTTCGTTGCCAGTCCTGGGCCAGAGCAGTGAATTATCATGCGAGGCTGCTGCTGCTGCTGCTGCTGCTGCTGCTGCCGACGATGCGGACGAAAGGGAAGAAGCAGTTTAAGCAGCGGGCGCGGACGCGGGGTGTAGAATAAGAGGAAATTTTCAGGCTCAGTTGCTCTAATGCTGCTTTGTGCCAGTCGAATTCAATTTTAGCTGCATGAGCTGCTCGTAGATCGCATAAACGCATGCACACACACTCACACGCACACGGAGATACACAGGCACACAGTCGCACACACACGCACACACACAGCCAGTACCGGAAAGCGGTGCACACTTTCGGGCGCAGCAACTGAAAGCGGCTGCTGCCTTGGCTCACGCCTTTCGCACTTGGCAAATGATAAAAACTGGCAACGCACTGCTAGAAAATATGCATTTTTAATGCCATAAATTAGTTTTGCCGTTTGTCGTTGCCGTTGCCGTTGCTGTTGCAGTTGCTGTGCACCAGAGAGCTGCAACGAGAGGAAAAGAGAAAGACAAGTAGTTAGAGAGAGAGTTGGAATGTTCGCATATAAAACCCCAGCCCAGTTGAGTGTCTAAAGCTGTTTAACGTAATACATAAAAAAACTAAGTGAAATGCGCTCACACTAAATGCGTTTTTAAATTAAAAATAAAAAAAAAAATAAAAAAAGAAGAAGAAGAAGAAAGAACACTGCAGCAAAAGGTTTACGTAATTTATGAACTAATAGCCAGCTTCCATTAGCCAGACACGAGCAGCAGCAGCGGCTGCTGAACAACACTTTCAGCTGGGCAGCTGTTGGGTAAAGGTGGTGCAAGTTATATTCATTACAACTAATTTCATATGCGCCATAGCCGGGCAACTTTATTTCGCAATAACTAATTGAAATGCAGTTTTTGTGCAAATCCCCTTTTTAAAGTTGGCTGTTGGCCATTGGCTTTGTTAAGCTGCGGTTGGTTATTTCCAAAGAATAAGTTTTACGGCCAATTGCATATAAAAAAACTAATTTAAATGTTGCAATCGAGAATACGGCACTGTCGGTACACAGGTATGTATTTTATTTGAAGCGTATGCAAATGTAGAATTTGCTTATCAAGTTTATTTACTAGCCCTGTATGTGATGCAATCTATAATGGCAATAACTTTCATCCTTATCGCCGGTACCAACACGATTTGTGACTGTCAAATATCTCGCAGCTTCTCATTGCGAATGCAGCTCGAATCCTGTTTTTAATGCCACTTGGCTATGCAACTCCCAAATCCAATCATAAAAATTGCATAAAAAACTATTTCGACTTGCTGAAAATGACGAGAAATGCAACGTCGCAGTCTTGGCCCGGAACTCGGTGTTAGTGACTGAAAACTGCAAAATGCCGCTTAAAAATTCATGAGTGTGAAAAGCCGCAGCGAGTGCGATGGTAGACAGGGGAATGTGTTTGGGGGGGGTGGGGATTTCGGTTTGAACAGAAAGTGCAAAGAAAGCCGGCAAAGTTGCTGCAACATTCGGTAGCTAAACAAAAATCATAACTGGCAGGTCCTGGGAATCGAAACTGAGGCAGCTGAGGATGGCGGATTAGGTGGCCCGCTGCTGGCTTCAACTGGCAGTGTGAATGAATGTTTATTGAAAGACAACGTCAGAACCAGGGCCAGCAGCAGTTCGCGACCAAAAGGCAAATACATAAAATGTCAGAGAATCAGAGCTGAAAGTTGCTCATATGCATAGGCAATGGCATGAATAAGTAACATGAAGCTTGCCTCAGCTGCAACAATGCTGACAGAAAGGGAGAGATGAATAGAGAGGAAGGTTGGCCTGTGATGTGGCCCGTGCAGACTTTTGCTTTTCATTCATACGAAATTACCTGCGGCCAAGAGGCGTAATGCCAGTTGGACTGCAAAATCCACTTAGGAAGTTGATACAATCAGTTGCTCTGACGAGCTGGCTGGCTGGCCTGGGCAGTCGGCCATGTCTGCATGTGGATGGATTCATTAAAACGAATTGCTCTGAGTTTTACGGCCAGGCTCCGCCTGCCTCTGGCCAGGCCCAACCAGGCCAAATAGTCCGAGTAGAGCTCGCATGGGAATGCCTGCGACTACTATATATGTCTATATATGCAGTTTTTTGGTTTTTGTTTTGGGACTCATTGACGTGTACGGCTCCACGTACGAGTACTGCAGCTACCACAGAAAGGGGGGACGGATTGGATGCTGCCTTCAACCTCGACTGCGACTGCGACTGCAGCTGCAACTACGATTGTGGCAGTGGCTGTGGCTTTGGCTGTGGCCGCCTCTGGTGCCTTGGTTTTGTTTGCGCCGCAAAGTATGCAACGGCTGCTGGTTTTGTGCACGGAAGCCAACAAATGAATTAGCCTCCGCTTGTTGCCATTGCCTATCTGTCTGCCCGTCCGACTCTATGTTTTTGCTTATTTGCCTGTTTGTTTGCTTTGCTGTGTGTGTGTTTTTGTGTGTATGTGCTTAGCTTGATTTCGGCTGAAACTACTTTGGTGCAGCAACAACAAGTCGAAAACGCATTAAAACTGTAAATTAACTGGAGCATTGTGCAGATTGGTTTCACTCTATCCACAGCCCCCAATCCATTTGCCGTGTCCCCTCTGATTAGCCACACGACTGCACTTAAAGCGCGCCTAATTAGAGAGGACTGTTCCACGTTGGGTGCCAATTGTAACAAGGGCTGCTAACCGCAGGCTCCTTTTGTTCAACAGCCTCATTTCGGTGTCTTAGTATGCTGTTAATTATTTATACTTTACATTTAATACGCAGCTTAGTCCCAAACATAACCGCACACAGACTCACAGACATACTCACACACTCTTAAACAGCTAAGTATTCATATACATTCATTTTTATATTCATATGGTAGCCATATCTGAAGCTTTGAGCTTTGAGTCGCTCTAGTTGTTTGAAGTGGGCGCCCGGGCAACACTTCCGCATCAGCGTCGAGCGATTTAGGCGTTGGGCGTGTAGAAAATGGCATAAAGCACACAACCCAAGCACATATACGCACCCAAACACACACACACACACACACTTACACACAGGCATTGAGAGACTTACATACGTGCATATTGTGCTTACGCATACATTTGCACAAACAAACACAAGCCCTAAAGAGTCTCGTCCAAAGTAGAGCGAAGTCGCTCTGAACTAAACTAAACCCGACTCTGACTCTGACTCCGACTCCAACTCCGAATCCTGCCACTGCTATAGCTCAGGGTCTCCATGTCCATGTAACATGTTAATGAACTGCGCCAACTGTGTTTGCACAGAACTTAGTGTAATGTAATCCAAAAGCAACCAGGCAGGCTGACGGGATGATGAGGCAGAAATCAGTAAGCGGGTGGCAGGAGGCAGGAGGCAGTTGGTAGGCAGTCAGGCAGCCATTACGAGCACATGCACACACGTAGGCACACCTCAACGCCCCAATGTGTCGAATGTTACGCCAAGGAGTAACTTTGACATTTAGCATTCAAGGCTTATGAGTGCCACAAACACTGGGCGTGGAGCCTGGGGATCTGCACATAACAGGAAAGGGTAGCGGACGGGGGGACGGGGAGGCTGACACGAAGGCTGCAAGCCGCCTGGGCAATTGCCTTATGGTTATTTTCGTAGCCCTGGCCTGGCCATAAACTGCGAGCCAAGTGTGACATGTGCTGCAGCAAAAAGGAGAAAAAGTAAAAAAATTAAAAAAAAAAAAACAAAAAAAACCAACGGGCGACAACCTGCAAACAGTTTGGATTTTTACTTGGTAGTGACATCCTCGCTTATGGGCCTGCCAACAGAGATGCCAGCGTGAGCGTTAACTAGCAGCCATTGGGAAATGAAATATGGTAGCTTGTGCCATGAATCACATAGATTGTGTGATGGGATTAATTTGAAGAAATATAAGAAAAGTAATTCAGTAGAATTAAAAGAATACAGTTGATTGTACAAAACGATACACTTTTTTAGTCTGCCCGACGGTGAAATGCCCTGTACCCAGATTTGAGCTGCCTCGACATTAATTTAAGCTTCGTTCTATAAATACTTGATGGGATATCCATTATTTTCCGAACTCAATAAAATGTTCAAAGTTTAAATATGGCATATAAATGCCAAATACCGATCCTTCGCTTTTTCAATGCTTAAGTAAGCCGAAACAAATACTAAAAAAAATAAAAACATTGTGAACATTCGAGAATCTATAGACAGAAAGTCTAGACTGAATAGAAAAAGCTGTTTTTACTGATTAAAAATATACGTGCTTAATGGAATCGGCGATAACACTTTCTACCAGTTACAGTCATATCAATATGCACACAATTTGACTACGGCGGTTATTGATTGCTTTCGAGAAACTCTTGAGATTATGATTTGAAACATATTCTCAAGTTTGCCGCATGCAAGCTAAAACAATTTTCTATCTTTCGTAGATCCGACAAGTGTAATCAATGTGTTCATTGAAAGCTTTTAAAATGTATTAATTTTTCATAGTACTTTTTATGATTTTGTATTATCAATAAACATTTTAGTGTAGAATTTTACACTCATAGACAGTTACCTGTTAACTTTCGAATGAAAGGAAATAATCAAATTGATTGCTTCATTTGTTGCTTGTTCAATCTTTTAAATAAATCTTCAAAAATACGCACACATACACGCACACAGAGACATTTTATAAATTCGGAGCAGGTGTTCTGTAGTGCACAGTGTTAAAATATTTCATAATTGTCAATTTTGTTGCAACTGCCAAAAACATATGCCTGAAGAGTGTGCACTTTTTACCTATTGACTGGCCTTTGGCAACTGTAAGCCAAAGAGTGTGGCAAGAGTTGAGGATGCAAATCAACCGACAGCTCGACGTCATAATTATTCATATTGTTGGCCAAAAGACGATAAAGTGTGGTGGCAGATAGAAAATCCGTAGAGTGCAGAAGGCGATGAGTGGGGGCAGGCATAGACAAGTGCCGAGCACTTGCAGCTGTGTCATATTAATTTAGTCAAGTGGCCACTTAAATTTTACCACGACAACTGCAACAACAAGAACACGAAAACGATGATGACGAGCCAGCTGAAGGAGCAGAAGCCGGTGGACGTGCAAATGGCAGTCACTACTTGTCTGTGTTTGTGCGATTTGCATAACTGCATGGATATTTAGTTGGCTAAAATGTCACCGACTTTTGCCAGCCACTGGCACAGGGTGCACTGAAAGTGGCACAGGGTGCCCAGCTGTAACCACCCACGACCGGGTCTAATGATTACAAATTGCCAGCGGCATTTTAATAACCGCGCGACCGCAAAACAATAAATAAAAATCACAGAATAAACAAAAGGCGCACAAAGGCTGCGAAATGAAAAAGCGGCGGGATAAAGCTGGCAAATCGGCTAAATGCGGCTTAAATGCATTGCCGCGATTAATATTAATATTAATTTCATGCAGTGCAGCGCTCTGTTGGAGGCCGTCCAACTTGCCAACTTGCCATGTTGCATGTGCAACAACCAACTACATCTAGCCAGCGCAGGGCTGCTGCCACTGATGAAGACGAAGTTGACGTTGCAGCAGCTGTTGTTGCTGCTGCTGCCACATGCACAAGCCGGCGAGATGACGACGATGACAATGGCGCACATCATGCGCATCATTAGCCAGCTCCAGAGCCAAGTCCCAGGCATCAGGTTGTTTACCACCACAGGGGTCGGCGGGCGCAAAAGCGTCACTCACTCTGACAATGCCCCGCTGTATGCTGCATCAGCTCCAATGTTGCGGTGTCTGTTATTGCTGCCGCAGATTCAATTTTCAGCCCCATTTTTGCCAGCTGCCGCATCAGCAGCAGCCGTATAGGCACTTAACTATTTGTGTTATTTCACAATTCATTTCCATTTTGTATTTTCCCCATCAAAGTTCAGTTACGAGTTCCGGGTGTTAATTGGCAACTACATAAACTGTAAACCTGAGCAGCGGCAACACAAATTGATAGGCAAGGGATACCAAAACGCTGGCAACTTTACTAATTTGCGGCATTACGACTGAAATGCAAACAACAACAATTAAAGCCACAGCACCAAGCAGACACACACGCACACACACACCCACACACACTCACTAATTAATACTCATATATTGGCAGAAATTTTCTCATTTTCACATTTGCATATTCGTATTCATTTGAATTTTCATCAACAGCGCTCGTTACCTTTTGATGAAAACTATCAAGTTCATGGAGGATAATTAACAAAAGCAGCGCCAACAACCTGAACCCCTCGACTCCACCCTCCTCCACACCAAACCATCCCCGCAACGTTCATTTTTGTACATGTAGCCCAAAAATAGATATTTAATTTGACTTTTGGTGGCCAACGCAAGTGGCAGGGGCAATCACCCTCGTGTTGGGGTTCAGTTACACTCCGGCTTAAAGTTTTGATCCTGGGCTGGCTTTGCAGGTAAGGAAATATGATGGTTGGCTATAAATTAGGAATTTGGTTAATGTGGTGTTGGTTTTGGTGGGGCTTGAACTTTGAGCAGGGTTACCTTGATTGACGAGGAAGCTGACTGATGTGTCTCAAATTGCGTGACAAGTGGCAAAGTTATCGAATGGAAATTTCCGAATTGTGTCTAACCACTTTTCATAAACAGCTCCAATGAGACGTGTATCATTCTAATAAATTAATTGCGAATTGCATATATTAAAATATAGTTGATTACTTTGTGTTAGATAAAAATAGATAATTTTTATAATATGTAATCGTTACTTAAGGCTTAGTTTCTCGTTATAGTCTATATACAAATAGACTCTGAACAATCTGCCATTAATGGTTTATATTTTAATATTTGTGTGATTGCAGCTGCCTAGGACCCCACTCGCTCAATGGCATTATTCTAGGAAAACGCTATGGCTATAGCATAAGCTTGATCGACATTCGATATTTGGAATCCTTACCATCCCGCCACTCATCCTCAGCGGCTACAATGCTGATCACTACGATAATTGAGGCTGCGTTTTTGAAGTTAAGCCCTTCGTTAGGAACTGCTGAAATATTTGCAACTGATTGCCCATTACAAATGGGTTAAAAGCGAGTTATATGCACATGTACAAAGCGGACAGAAGGAGCCATCTCCGTCTCTATCTAGCTTATAGAATTTTCATTGGCATCGCCATAACTGATCACATTCAAAGATTATCAGCTGACAGTTCGAAAGTTAGTTTGTAAACAATACACTTATATTGTTAACACAATAGCAGGCGGAAAATATCATATTTTGTATTAATCACATGCCTTTTAAATAAAGCCAGTATGAGTATGAGTATGACGAGCTAAGTCATGATCGATTTGGATATTATTATATATATTATATATGGAGTGTGTATTTGAGTGAATATTTGAGCAGACATAAGCTGGATACAGGGATTCTCCTGTACAAGCGCCTAATATTTGATGTGCTACAGTTTTACCTACTTAACATAAACTGCATTCATTTCACATTTCTGAGCAGCATCAAATGATCAATTTAATTTATATGTTCACTGCTCGTGTTTTATGCATTTCCTGTCGAACTTTTAGGGCTTGCCATAAAAAAACGTTTAATAAAGACAAGTGAAAAATAAAGGTAAAGGTAAAGTTAACCGTATTGCGATTGCTGCATAATAGATTTACGTATAAATTTTATGGAATTTGTTCAGTCGCGTGGAAGTGCCATAAAAATCATAAACAGCGAATTGCCAGTAACAATAAATTCAGCAAATATAGCAACAACAAATTCGATAAATACAATAAAAAATAAATATAAGTGAATAACGCCGCCATCAGCAAAAACAACAACAACAACAGATGTTAATAAATAACAAAATAATCACAATAAATAAATTGAGAGCCATGAACGACAAACAAAAAACAAAAAAAATTTAAAATGTTTATTGAGAGGTAAGCAGCATCATTTGTTGTTATTGTTGTTGCTAGAGTTTTTGTAATTTGCATTTTTCTCTTTTTATACCCTGCACCCATTAAAAATGGGTAAAAATGGTATATTGTATTTGTGCAAAACGAAACAGAAAGTATATATATTCTATCTACCGGTGAAAATTGCATCAAGATTTGTTAGGAAACACAAAAGTTATTAAAGAAAACGTGTTCGGCGAAAATGTCAAGAATTTCTGTATGCATGTACACACACACACATTCAAGCGCGTATTTATTGAATGCTATCAACAGCATTGCAATTGCCATTGTATTCTTTTCTGTGTGTATGTATGTGCTGCTATTTAAATTCGCTTTTTTTCGCCAAGAAGTAAATGGTTAAGTATGAGATGTCGAGTAAAGGCGTGGGCAAGTGGTGCGGTCTGTTACGGGTTCGATTCCTACTCCTCTTATTAAAATTTATTTTTTATTACTGCCAAAGACGCGAGCTGCATTTTTTTGGTGGAAGTGGGTCCAGGGTATTCCCTAGTCGAGAACTCCCGACTAGAGCCTCTTGTTTTTTTTTTGCAATTCGTCGTACGTTTTAATTGAGTTGAGGTTGTTGCTGCTGTTGCATGTCACACTTGCATGCGCCGCATGTTTATTTTATTTTGTTTAAAGTTAATTTTAAATCGAATTGTTTTAAGCAACGAACTGCGCAAACTGCGTCGAACTCAACGTCAAACAGAACGGCAAAAACTTGTTGCAATTCGCTTTATTGCTTTATCATGTCATGTACAGTTATTTTTTTTTTGCTCTTTATGTCTTGGGCAATGTACCTTGACAGAGAGCAAAAGTGAGGGGGACAGAGGGAAAGGTAAGGCGAGAGCAGCAAGAAGCAGCAAAAGCAACAACAGCCGAAGCAGGGAGAAGAAGAAGTGGAATGAAAAAAGATTAATGTTATCGAAATATAAAAAACCAACCTTGCATGAATTTATATTAATTTATGTTTTTAAAACAAAAGCAACAAAAGCAAACGAAATGATGGCGATAAAAAAAACCACTGCGGTAATTTTATATTGATTTAAATGGGTTGGAGTTGAATGCGACTGCGAATCTTTCGGGAAGGGGGCCGCAAAACACACGCACGTTCTTAATTATAGTTTATAACACACTCGAGGCACGAAATTACTGCTGTTAAAGCTTTTAGACGCGTTGATAACAACAAACATAAAACAATACACTACAGGCGGCTTTCGGGCGAGAAATCAAACAGCCAACTCACAACTAAGTTTTACTTTTTTTTTTCGCGGCGGAGACACGCGGTACGCGACAACTGAATAAAGCGAAGTTCACGATCGGACTGTGACGGCGACATTATCGAAACAGCAGACGCTGAACGTCAGTGTGTAAGATCAACGGCGAAAAGAGAACGCGTGAGTGACAGGGAGAACGAGAGAGAGAAAGATATGAGAAAGTGCGCAAACACCAGCGTGGCTGCTGCATCGGTGAATACAGAAAAAAACCTGCTGGACCGGAGCTGTTGTTGCTCATATTGGAATAGGTACCGTACGAAAATCAAGAAACAAAACAGAAATGAAAATAGAAGCAAATCAACGAAAGCTGAAGCTAATCGCTAGTAAAGTGAACAATAATTGAAGAGTATATTATTACAGACAAATAAGTAAATCACAAATATACAAATTAAAATAAAAATATAAATAATGCAATATGGTTATATTATAAGTAATTATTTACAACATTGTTAACATTGAAATCTATAGCGGCCATGCGTTCTGAATATTTCCAGTGGGCGCTATTTATTAGAATTTGATTGTAACAGGTAGAAACGTGAACTATGCCAAAGCTATGATTACTGATTGGTTATTGAGAAAACCTGTTATAACTAAACAGAATTTCCGAGAAATCTCTAAGAATAAACACATTTACATTCGGTTACAATCACGTTTAAGGCTATCGTGCGAGTTATCTAAACGATTTGTTTCGTCATGCTGCTATGGTTAAAGTTATGTCAATATATTATTTATCTTTATGACTATATAACTATGTGGGACAGCCCGTCTAAATGTCACTGCCCGGCAAGGCCAAGGCTATAAAAAACTACTTTAGTAAGGTTTTATATTGGAAACTAAAAATTTCAATGGAGCGCAAGTACCGAAAGCGTCAGCTTTTGGCTTTCACAGCTGAACGAATAAAATTTGAATGTCGAAAACAGCGTTGAGTGCTGAATAGCTAGTAGCTCGTAGCTGGTAGCTGAATAGCTGAATGCTGAGGTGTTGAGTGCCTTTTTTGCTCACTTAGCTCGAATTTGGAGTTACTTAATGCTAATGGGAAGTGGGAGGGGCTGGCTGACAAGCTACTTAATGTAATCGCATTTGTATTTAGAGATATAAACATACACATTTGTATATATATATATATATATGTATAGCAACAATTAGAGGGCCGCAGCGCAAATGGGCCAGGCGTGCAGCCCGTTATCAGACACGACAGCTGCAACAACAATTAACAGCGGTAGCGAAATTAACAGCAACTGCTCGAGGTGGATGAGCAGATTGTTGAGGCGGCTTAGTGCCTGTTGAGCGTGTTGCGGCAATTAGTTGAGTGATTCGAGTGGCGAATGCGGTGGCTGAGGTGGAGCTCATTGATAATGCGAGCGGCGTTTATGGATTGCAGCAAATAAGTAATTAGGCGTGTGGCTACGGATTGCTGCTGTGGATGCCACAGATGGGAATTTGCATTGGCAGCTGACTTTGAATAGCTTTTAGTCCATTGCCCATTAATCTTGCTTCGAAATGAAGGCAGGCAAAGCTGAAGCTCAACAGATTTGTTGGCGCGTGCAGCGCCTTTAAGTATGCAGCAAACGCAGCGATTTACCCCACTTTGCATACGTGTGCGATTATGTGTATGTGTGCGTGCGTGTGAGTGTCTGTGCGTGTGTCTGTGTGCGTGTATGGTGTGTGTAAGTGTGCGCTTTTGCAATTATTTATGTTGTTCATTTGTTTAACGGCGGCAAGCAGGCAGCTTCAACAAAAGCGAGCAATAAAAGCGACGTCGCCGCTGGTGACGTGAGCAAGGACGACAAGGACATGTGGATGTAGATGTGGACGTGGCCAGAAGGAACGATATCATTTACATGCCATGCAGGCGCACAGGCCACAGCCACAATGACGCCCACATGGCCGCATACTACAATGGCCAACAGGACACAACGCCCAGCGCCCGCACCCAGAACGAGCGTCGAGTCCTTCCACGGCCAAACACGAGATGTAAAGTTTAACACATAAACTCAAGACAATTTGTGCGCGTATGTGTGAGGAATAAGGCAAAAGGCAAATAATTTACAAGTTTTGAAAAGAAAAGCCAGTCAGCGAGCGAGTAAGCGAGAGTGAGAAGGTGAGAGACAGAGAGCCAGCGAAAAGTGAAAAGAAAAAACGAGTCGAACAGACACAGAGCGAGAGGGAGAAAGAGAACGAGAGAGAGAGAGAGAGGGAGTGAGAGCAAAACTGTACAAATATAAAGAGCGGTCCCTGTTCTTTGTCTTGTTGGGTCGTTGTTGGCGTAGGCCGATGCCTGCATAGCGTAGCCTGCCCAAGTGTATTAAACAACACCGCATACACGCACAGCCAGCACACTCACACACTCACACACACACACAGTCGCACTTATATATGTGCTCACGCATACAGCTTAAAATGTGTAACAGCAAAGTGTAAAAATAAATAATTTAAAGTGTGTGTAAGGACACGCTGCAAACGGTCGCCGTCGCCGTCGCCGCCATAAAGCGCCAAAGGAGTCGACAGCGAAGGCGGCGTAAATAGTACAAGTCGCACATACACACACACACACAGACACATAAACACATGTATGTTCTTATGACCATCGCCAGTGTGCGTGTGTGTGTGTGTGTGCGTAATATGTTTCCATTTTTTTTTTGCTGCGTTCAGTAAACTTTTGCGCTCAATACCGCAGAAACGGCAGCACCAGCAGGAACTACAACAACAACAGCAAGCGGCAGATGCAGGTTGCCCTTTGAAAGTATTTCCCGCAATGCAAAGAACAACAACAACAACTACAACAACAACAAAAAATGCCAAAAAGACCAGAAAGAGAGAAAACTTATTATTATGTTGTCAGTAAAGCAAAAACGGCAAGGAAAGGATACTCCAGCAGCACCGAGACTTTAATGTCCCTTAGCATCGCATGGAAACAAAGGTTATGTGATCAATAGAAAATGCTTGTACACAATTTGCCATATCTTCACCTCTAACATAGAATCTAAACAGCTTAATAATATGATTTGCGACAACCTGGCTTGAAGATGGAGCAGCAAATAAGAAGTTAATATATTTTATTAGTATTCAATGATATTTTTACCAAACTTTATTCTCAGTGTTTGACTTAAGTGCTGTAGTTGCTCCTATGAACATTTCTTTGGGCATTTAAGCTGCAAAAGCCTGTCAAATGTGAACTGTTTTTTGAAAGGGTATCGGAACAGCAGCAGAAAAAACAGCAGCAAACAAAAAAAGGAGCAAAGTAGAGAGAGAGATAAGAGTGTGTTTGTGAGAATCGGCTTTTGGTATCTAAGGAATTTGCATATCCATAAAGCAAAATACCAGAGAATGTGAGAATTGTTGCAAAATGGAAAAAAAAGTACAATTGGAATAGCTTAGGCTGTGAGTTCCAGAACTCATTTAAAACTTTATGCACAAACTCAGCATTTATCTTTAAATATATATGTATAAAATATTTACTTAAAAGTTGTTTTCATAAGGTAAAAATGTGTATATTGAAGTAAATATTGTCTAACTATTGGCAAATAGAATCTTTTCAGCTGATTCAATCGTTTAGTATTTTGTGCACTGAGTATTGTGCAGTTTTTTGCACCTGATTGCAACATTGCTGCTTGTTTCATTTAAGAATTGTTCAACGTGATTTTCGTAAGCAGCTTAAACAATCTGAAGAACTATTTATTATTTTCATTCTGCCAATCAATCCTCTTTGAATTTTCTTCTTTATTTTAATGCTTGGACCTCCATTGCCCACATTGCCTCCATTGGCAGCGCCCCCAACTGCGTTCACCAACGGATGTCATAATTCATATAAAAGAAAATTCGCCGACAATATTGGTGCGTTGGCTTCCTTTCGTTTCCTTTCCTTTCATTTTGCTCTTTCCACTTTCCACTTGGCCACACGCAAAGGTGTGGCAAGTGCAGCGCATTTTTCATCATTTACCAATCTTCCATTTACTGTTTATCAATATGGTGACCATCATCAATTCACATTTCCACGCCCGCACTGGTCCCATTAAGCGAAGAGTTTTCGCGTTTTTTTTTCAGTACTGACAATATCATAAATGTTTTCTTTTATGCTATTTTTATTTAATTTTTGTTGTTGTGTATTTTATATATACTTTTGTTGTGTGCAAATATTTATTTAATTATTGTGTCACACGAAACAAAGGCGACATAAATATGCAGTGGAATATCTTACCCCTGGCCAAAGACCAGCAGCAGAGCAGCGACAAAAGGGAATGCAAATAAAAACAATAAGTTACTTAATTAAATTTTGTACATGCCACTGAGCGCTTCCACAGAACGCGCTGGACACACTTTCGTCCCCCACCACCCCCTCTCCGTCGTGCTTTGTCTCGAGGTAATTATTATTGAATTGTCTGCGTATAATTTAAATTATGAAAATCAAATAGTTCAATTATATCGGCGTCCTTGCGATTTTCATTAACTGCTAAGAAAAAAAAATATGGTCAGAAAAATTCTGAACAATTCACGAGCGACTCAATTATAAAGGGATTTGGTGAAGGCGTTGTAATCAGGCACGCAAAACAGAAATTAATATATCATTTTAATTCTGCAAAACACACATACAGACACACAGAAACACACACGCAGATAGCAGTAAAATGCAACTGGAGCCCGCATAAAGTCGAAATCCAAACTAATCAAATCAAATTTCAATTATTGCGCTAGGGCAAGTGGCATGGGGGGCGTGGGGGGCGTGGCAATCAGCTAGGGCCGCAGGTGGTAACGTGCAAATGCATTGTGGCCCAGTTGGCTCGGCCCGTTGCCCCTCGATTGCAGTACATTTCCATTTCGCTTGATTACATGCATTTTATATGCGCCCGCCCGAAAGTAGGCTACACTTTTCAATCACAATCAAATTTTATGCCTCACACACACACAGGTGAACATGTGTGAGTGTGTGTGTGTGTGATTTGCCCGTAGAAGCTCACAATCAGATTCATTTACATTTCCGCCGCCCAACAGCACAGCAATAACAACTAGCAACTCCATTTTCATTGTTTTGGAGGTTTAGCTGATTGTGAGTGTACTCTGAAATGGAATTTAA